TCATAATGCGGTCAGGGTTGCCTCTTGCCGCGTCATTCGTACCACCCTCATTTGTGCCCTAGCCTGGATTTGGACACCAGGCACCTTGCAGTCTTCCTCAGTAATGCCCGTGGCTCCCAGGAGAGCAACTCAATGATTTGTGACCGGCATCCACTTGCAGCTGCTGATGAGTGGGCTTCACCAAGCTTACCACATGTCCATGAGCAACCTGCTTGATTCACAGGGTTTATCCGCAGTGTAAACAATGCATTCCTGGTACCGCCTCCTCATCCAGTCAAATGTGGGAAAGAACTGACTTGCCAGAGGGACTTTATCCTTATAGTACAAGCTGTGTAACTTTCTGAATAATAGGGGCTGATGTAACCTTACATCTGAGCAGCCCAGTTGCAAGGGTTTGGGCAGCTATGTTTTGCTTCCTTACTGGGACAAGGAGCAGCCAAGAAGCTTCCATTACTTGTATAAGTTGTTTTCATTCTTCCCCCATTTGCAGCCTTGTGTTCCTGTCAGTTGATTGTTAGACCATGAGGATCAAGCTGCTCTGCCTGCCTTTGAGTGCAAAGTCTAATTGGCCAGAACTCTCATCCCCCATTAGTCTGCAAGTGTGGCTCTGAGATCTTCAGTATTCTCCTGTTTCAGCTGCCCCCATGCAACAACCCTGCTCAAAGATCTTCTGCTTTCAGATTTTTTTTTTAATTGGAATAGTCAGGACAGCAGCACAGCTGCACAGAAAGAAAAACCAACCAGGCTCAGTCCCTCTTTTTTTCCCCTGGAGGGACAGCTGTGTGGTCCCCATTATAATACAGCTCTTGTCCCCCCACCCCGCCCTTATCTTCCAATGCAGGGACAGCTGAGAGCAGCACTGTATCATTCATGGCTTCTTGTTCATGCCAGCTCATATTCCAGTGCTGGGACAGCTGGGAGCAGGGACACCTATCATCGCATAGTACATCCTGCTCTCCCTCTCACAAAGCACTGTACCTTCAACATGAGGGAAATACCTGGAAAGTAGTAATATCTCAGACATATAGAGGTGATTGGGAACAATTCATTAGGGCTTGCAATGTGATGATATGGAGCATACAAATAAGCAATGTAATGCCTTATGGCTAGGTACAGACATTCAAAAAGCCCAAGACAGAATCAATCTAAGTTATGAGGTTTCCCATAAACGGCATAGTTTAGATAGTAAACAGTAGTAGTAAACATAGTAGTAAACAGACCACACGTTCATCATTGAGGGTGGGGAGGGCCGGGGGGAGCAAATCTTAGACCAGGTTCTGCATTTTTAAACCAGTCTATATGTGCTGAACTTCTGTTCTGTTATGGGCATGGACCAGTTTTGTTTGCCACACTTCTGTTCTGTTACAGGTATCGACCGGTTTCCGACTACTTATACCTGTAAACGTGTAATGTCTGTACCTGGCCTATGGGTCTGTGTATGCAAAGGCATCAGGTCACAAAACATGGAGGCTTTTCCTTATCAAGTTCTCTTGTAGCTTTTCATGTTCTGGGTATCTCAGCATCAGAAGGCTGCCAACATAGTGGAGGAAATTTGGGGAAGAACAAGAAAAAAATACTTATGAGGGAGGATTAATTGAGATAAATACTTGTAGCTGGGCTAACTGGCAATTAAATGGGGAAGATTTGACACATGTAAATGCCAAGAGAATGTTTGGAGGGCGTATAAGGAGGAGGAGTGAAATGGTATGGAATGAAGGAGAATGGGAGGTGTCATTGTGCTAGACCTCCTGTTTGCACTATCCATCACTTATACAGAAGGGGGAGGGGTGTAGCCCAGGGAGATAGCTTTCCTTGCCAGCCGGTGTTATGTTCCAAAGTTTCTATACATAGAGGCAGAAAGTCATATGTCCTTGTATTTGGTGGGAAGGTTTGGCTGTCTACTAAGAGAACTTGCTTATTCTGATCTTTAAGCAGCCAGATAAGCCATGTGTCTATGCCCTTTCTGCAGGTATAGACTCTGGGCGGATGCCTGTGCAGAGATGTTTGGAGGTCTTGATATTTGTGCTGTCAAAGCTGTCCACAGCAAGGATGGGAAAGACTATATCATTGAGGTGAGACCATGTTCCTTTTGACCAATATGTTTCGAGATCTGTACACCCCCATATTCACCAGGTTTAGTGTGTGCATTGACATGCTGACACATGCACATGTACTCTGTCCACATATATACTCTTTCCCTAGATGCCTGGATATTTTCTCCAATTAATATGCCCATGTATAAATTCTGAATCACAGTCAAGCAGCCTAATGCGTTCAACTGGACTCCTTGGTTAAGATAAAGATTGGGAGTCAGGCTCAGAGATCAGGTTTAGGAGTCAGTTTGAGCAGGGGACATACTATGCAGAAACTAATGATTAACCAAAGCAATAAAAAAGAGGTCCTTAAGCACTGGGAATAAGCCTCACTGTCTTACTCAGGGCATGGATATCTCAGAGTTTATTAAGAAAGCAGACAAAGGAGACAAATCCCTGACACAGCTTGTGGATGTCATGTCCAGAAACACATTAGCAAGAGAAACTGTGGCTGGGAACACAAAGGTTCCACATGAGTCTTACCACTCCAGTGGGGCTGAACTTGGGAGTGGGTTGAGTAGCATGATCAGGTCATCAGGACAGGGTGGAAAAAGAAAAGCTGGCAGGGAGATCAAAGCAGAAACTTAAGATCCTCTTTGGGGCCAAGAAAATCTGGCAATTGAACAAGTGTCCTCTGTCATTATGCAATGTTATTGGAAGAGAGGCTCCATATCTGACCTACTGTAAACTGCAGCAGCACAGCCCAGGAAGAGGAAGAAGAGCAAAAGCCAACCTAGAGATCCCTTCATGGGTGCTGCTGACACATTGGAAAGCTATGTGTGGGAGAGCAGTCCCACCCGCTGAGGTTTGGGAAACTGATGAGAACACATGAGCCTTGTAGTGACTGCACATTCCAGGATTATGCATTTAATCTCTGGGGACCAGTGACCTGTCAAAAGGCATGTGATGCAAGTGCACTGCCAGCAATGAAGACATTTGTTAGCCTGTTCCAAGTTATGACAGTGGAACAACTGTCACTCCTTCCCCTATGTGGAAGTCATCAGCAACTTTTTAAAAGTGCAGCTACTTTAAAAACACTCACTGCACTGATCCTACAATGCCCTTCTATATCTATGTGGGTGTGTGCGTGTGCAGGCCTGCCTGTGTGAAAGGGTTAACCAAGAAAGTTTACTCACCTGCATTTCTGTGTGTTTGCCTGTGTGTGCATGTGTTTGTATGTAAGAAGTGGAGTTCTGTACCCCTGGCTCTGTGTATAAACGTGTACACATCACATCTGCCTCTAAATGAAGGAATGGGAGATTACACATTTTGTTCAATGTATGCCTCTGGGGTAGGGAATGGCTTCTCACCTCAGTCTCTGTGTATGCATGTCACTGTGCAGAGAGTACCAACCTGCCCTTACAATATTCACTTTGTTGCACACAATGAAAGAAATCCACCCTGGAAAAATAGAGAGAGCAAGAGCTTCATCAGGTACAAATTAAAGAGCCACGTTATCTTTGAATGGGAAAAACAGATTGCACCGACTGAGGACTTAGCCCAGAGGACCTGCCATGCCAAGAGTTTAGCCCCAGACAAACTGACCATAAAGAAAGCTAAATAGAGCAGAATAAAACAGTGGTTCTCAACCTTTTTTGTACCAGAACCCATTTGTAAGCACTGATAGCCAGTCCTGACCCCAGGGAGACATGGGGGGCATGTGCCCATCCCCCCAGATTTGTGTGCTGCAGCCATGCTGGACCGGCACAGGCAGAAACTACCTCTGCGGCCCAGTGAGTGGGAGCTGGTGCAGAAGGGCAGAGCAGGGTAGCAAGACTCGCTGTTCTCAAGACCCCCACACCAGCTGCATCACTAGCAGTGCGAGGAGAATGGTTGGGGGGGAACATACTGCCCTCACCTCCTCTCAACACCAACCACGCCTCTCAGGCTGCGGTTCTATCACACTACCATGGTCCAGCTGCTGCTGCCACTCCCCTCAAGCCACCCACACTGCCCACCACCCCATCTCCTCTCCACGGTAGAGCCATGGCCTAAAGGGAGCAGCAGTGGCATCCAGGCCATGGTGGCAGGGTACAGCCATGGCCTGAGGGGAGCTGCTGGCACTGGGAGGAGGTAAGGGCAGCATGCCCCTTCCTCCCCTGTCCATTATTCTTCATGCTGCTGGCAGCACGGCTGGCATGGGGTCCCTAGCAGCAGCAACAAGTCTTGCTGCCTAGCTCTGCCCTCTAGCTCCTGCCACTGGGCCATGGAGGTGGCTCCTGCCCCTGCTGGTCCAGCCAGGCTGCAGCCCCATGCCCACTGTGGGTGCACTAACTGAGGGGGCATGTTCCCCCCCATGCATCCCCAATGCGTTGCCTGTGCCCCTCTTGCTCCCCATCTATGTCCCCCCTGGGGAACTGCTCTCTATGCTGCCTGCACACATGCATGTGGTATCCCTTGCCTGATCGCTCTCCTCCCACTCCCCCCAGCCCCAAGCAGCCCTTTGCAGGCTGGAACTCTGTCAGCCTGCAAGGGGAAATCCACAGATTCCTACATTTTTCTTCTTTAAAGGAGAATATCTGTGATTTTCCACATTTTTCTATGACTACTCACAACCCTTGCATATATTCTTGCGACCCAGTTTTGGGTCACAACCCACAGGTTGAGAAACGCTGGAGTAAAATAAAGCAAAACAGGCACAATTTCTGTTCATGCTGGTTCTGAAGAAGCTGGAAAAGAATTCCTATCCCTTGCTTCAGTTCCCGGAGCATTTTTCTTGACCAGAAATGAATGTGTTTCTTACAAATCGCTGAGATTTACCGTATGAAAGAGAGAATTTTTCTGTGTTGTGTTGTAAGAAATTGTTGCAAAGTTCACTGAATAAATAGTGAATTTGCACAACATGGCCAAGCTAAAGAATGACTCTTCCTAATGAAAAACTTCTGTCAGAAAAGCTCACCAAGTGATAGATGGGCAGTTCTGTGGTTTGAGATTTATCATAATTGCTTGTGGCAAATAGAGAATCAAATCAGGAGAGATTAAATAATGAGCCCAGGGAAGGAAAAGTGCATGTTCTGTGAACTTGATGTAGTTACTATAAATTTACCTTCAGCTTGTTCGCCATGACCTTTTCTATTAGCTGATCTCACCACCTTTATTTCCCACATTGCGCCACTAATTTTAAAGATGAAATTCAGACCTAGAGTGCCTTCCGCTGATTTCATTCACAGGTGGGAGCTCCAAATTTGTCTCAGCTCCCTGGCCTTGTTTTTCTCTGCTCTGATGGTCTTTGTCACATGGCTAGAATTTCAGAACCCACAACTGAGGCCAGGTTTTCAGAAGAGTTCAGCTTCTAGTTAGGTACCTAAATGAATGGCTGGGGTTTCAAAAGGACTCTGCATACTAGGTACATGTTGGATGGTGAGCAATGGAGACTCAAATTTCTATAATATAAAAAAACCCAGTAATGCCTGGTTAATTGCAGAATGAAGCATAACTAAAACAACTCATGGAACTAAAGAATAATCAATACTGGATTCACTCTGTATTTCTCTTCTCTTTTTGGCCATGTACCCAGCTGTGCTCTGTCTATTGCAAGAGCAAAGCTTTCTGTCCCCAGCCACGCTTACTGCCAAGGTCTTGCCACTTGAACGAAGGTCTGTCCATGCTTTCACCATTTTTCTATCAGCACCTTTGATATGTCTAATCATCTGTTTCCTTCCTTCCCTCAAATCACCCAGCACCCAACTTTCATCCATGGGAACACAGAATAACAAATCCAGCCTGCAGGTCTCTGTGTAAGATAGAAGGGGGAGGAGGAGTTTTCCAGGATCTCTTCTCTGCCTTGCCGCCTTCCGTTCCCCCTGTGATACCTTATCAAGCAACAGCAGCTGTGTCAGGAGACAGCTGCTGACCTTGGACAACTACAAAGGCAGGGTCTGTATGTGCTGACATCTTCTCCCTTCACTTGGCTGTTCTTTGGTCTGCTTCTCAGGAAGAGATGAGAGGAATCTGTTTGCATTGCAACTCTTCCTACTTTTCATTTTACGTCACCCATGCAGGGCCAGGTTCTGATCCTGCCAATTGCAGAAACGTGAAGCAAGCACAGTAACTGAAAACATCATGTAGTCCACAGAAATTACCTTCCTAATCAGCCTGTTCCTCACCCTGCCTTCTCCAGTGCTAGCCCAGTGCAGTGTTTGTCCTCTTTCAGTGCCACAGAAATAAGTTGACTCAGAAATCACTAATAATTAGATGCCAAATGAAACTCCCCTGGCTTAAGTAGGCTTGCTACAGGATAAATTTAGCCTCTGATGGCTTTGTTTCTAATATTCTCCATTTATGCTTCAACTGCTATATCAATTGCTGCTACAATGGCTGCGGGAAGCCATTCCCAACATTTGAGTGTAAGAAAATATTGTTTTCAGTACAGAAGTATCACAACAGCTACTATACTACTAGCTAGGCAGCTGTCAAGTTACTTTATTGCATGATAGCTTGCTAAGGAGAATAATGGCACCATCTAGTGGTCATAAGTCTACCCATATGTAGTTAGATTGAGAGAGTAAGTAGAGTTAACACTTAAGGGGCTTTCCTTTCCCCTTACATGCTGGTTCTAGCATTGCCAAGTGAAGTGGGAACACCTGCCAGAGGAGCCAACAGAGCTACATGCTAGTGGCTGCATCTACACAAGACACTGACTGTGCAGTAGCTCGTTACTACTGTGCACTAGCATCACATGGCACAAAGCATGACGCGATGCTACTGCAGAGTAGTAACAAGCTACTGTGCAGTTAGCATCACCATAAATCCATTCAGGGATGCTACTGTGCAGTAATGCCAGTCACTGCACAGTCATTGTGTATGCAAGTACTAAATGATGGCAAGAGTTAGTGTCTTGTGTAGACATGGCTAGTGAGAATCCCTAATTCAATTTCAATTTATTATTATTAAGGATTCTGGCTAAATGCCATGCTCCTTAAGACGACATAACACACATACAACCATAATATGAACATAAGCCTTCAATGTGATTCTGCGGCTAGTAAAGCGAGCAAAACACTGGCTTGCATCCACAGATGCTTCTCAAGCAGATCTCAGGACATCATTCTCCCATTGTACTTGGCCTTGGTGAGGCCGCAGCTGGAGTACTGTGTCCAGTTTTGGGCTTCACAATTCAAAAAAGGATGTGGAGAAGCTTGAGAGAGTCCAGAGAAGAACCACGCGCATGATCAGAGGTCAGGAAAACAGACCTTACAACAACGGGCTGAGAGCTATGGGACTCTTTAGCCTGGAAAAGCGCAGGCTCAGGGGTGTTCTGGTGGCCACCTATAAGTTTATATGGGGTGTTCACCAGGATCTGGGGGAACGTTTGTTCACCAGAGCGCCCCAAGGGATGACAAGGTTGAACAGTTATAAACTACTGCAATACCGTTTCAGGCTGTACATAAGGAAGAATTTCTTCACTGTCCGAGCCCCCAAGGTCTGGAACAGCCTGCCATCGGAGGTGGTTCAAGCACCTACATTGAATGCCTTCAAGAGAAATTTGGATGCTTATCTTGCTGGGATCCTATGAACCCAGCTGACTTCCTGCCCCTGGGGCAGCGGGCTGGACTTGATGACCTTCCAAGGTCCCTTCCAGCCCTAACGTCTACAAAATCTATGAATGAATAAGTTTAAACAAAGTAACCGAATTCCAAATATTATACTAAAAACAGAGCCCACCAACATAAAAACATTATTAATATCAGTACAGTAGTAAATCAAGACATGAATTCTATAATATTGTTGTACGTGGATCCACAACTGGGACAATAAAATCAAATCTAATGTTAAAATGTGTCACTCGTATCAGTAATAAGGATATTTAACTCTAATTGCCTCAGCCTTGAAGCAAAAATTGCAAGCCGGCTTACTACATTTGGATCTATTTGCTGTAGAAGCCAGATTAATTTCTCTCTGTTTGATAAATATCTTGATTTCTGCAAGTACAGTAATAAATAGGTTCTCCTTATGTCATTATATAAAGAACAGCCTAATACATAGTGGATAGTATCTTCCACAACTCCTAGACAGACTGAGCAACATCTTTTAGCCCTTGGAATGGAAAATCTACATCCAGCCAGAACAGCTGTGGGCATCTGTTTGGTCCTGAGTCTAGTCAAAAAGGATCACCATTTATTATTGAGATCCCAGTGTAAATACCTTTCTCCCCCACAATCTAATTTCCAAAGCCTATATAAAGGGGCTATGCAAGTAGCTCTAACCACTGCAAAATCATTCTCCCTGGCAATATCTCATATCCTCTGGAAAGCCTGATCCTTTTCTATGGGAGAGAAAGATCTTTCATTATCTTTGAAATAGTATCCCATCCCAGAAAGTGCAAAAGTGCAAGAAAGAAAAGCTAACCAGGATGATTGGAGAGGAGGGGGATTATTAACATCTTCTACGTAGCATAATGTAAGCAGACGAGATGGCAAAAGGGGCAGGATTTTAAACCAAAATCCTGCCATTCTAATAATAATATTAGTTAAAATAGAATCCATTCCCATCTCTAAGCTCAGAAAAGATGCAGGAGTTGAGGGAGGAAGAGCCAGAAGAGCCCTAAAAAACTTTTTCTAAGGTATGTCTACATCATTACTAGTGGCATAACCCCATACTTCAGTGCCATATAAGATCTGAGAGGTAACTTTGGCTTTATATGCTGATAAGAATCCCTAATAATAACTGGATTGGATTCCAAATCCAATGTTCTATGGCTCTCCTGGCCACTGCTCCCACATCTGTATATCTACCAAACCCAGTTACCTCTAAGGAGATAGCTGTGGAACTGCAAGCCTTTAATGCATTTATCTGACCTGTGCTATTTAATTTCCTTACCTCTCCTATATACCTTTTAAGTCATACATGGAGAAAGCAATGTAGTTTGGTATGAAACTTCTCATTGGGTCCTAAAGCTATCCACAACTGTAACCAGAGCCCCATATGAGTTTAGGTGGAACACAAACTAAAAATGATGTCAAACTGAGGGCATTGAAGAGTAATCTGTAAATGAAGTCATCCATATCATGTTAGATGGTCCCTCTATGAATGAATTCCATTAAGAGAATACCTTAAGGCTAACTATGGAAGACAAGCATGCCAGTGTTTCTGCTTCCCTCTGTGAGTTGACTCTTACCGTTTGTAGTATGGCTGTGGTGGTTGTTTGAATATAAGTCAGTTCCATGTCAGACGAATGCTGTTTTTAACACTGCTTTTCTGAGTTTCTAACATTCAGTTTTGCTTGCTATTTTTATCTATAAAATATGTTGATGAGGTAATATGCACTCTACCATACTGAAGTTTTTCATGTAGGGTTTAGTTAATGTTTGTAAAGCACTTGAAATATGACAGGCAACTTTTCTCATGATGTTTGAGGAGGTGGCATGTAGCAGCAATTCTCACCCTTCTTAAATAAGTGGACCACTTCTTAAATAAGAGAACCTTTCAAGGGCCTCACTCCTCCCCGAACTTTTGCTTCCTCACACTCCCAGAGGCAATTATATAGGTTGTTTACATGACAGCAATATCAGACCACTCTAAAGGAGGCCAGATGAGAGTAAATTTACTGTCCTCGGATGGTTGCTGCTGTTTGGTGACATCCTGTCTTTTTTGCATCTGTGCTGTTTACTTCCTCTCCCTAGGATTAGAGCTTTGCATTGATTACTACCAAATCTTTCCTGGTTTGCTCCAGTACCCTTTGCTTTAATCTCTGCAGGTTTCCTTGCAGTTTGTTTCCCATGTCCTGTGTGCCTGTAATGCATTGTGTTCATGCCAGAATAACACCCATCCTTGAAAAACATGAGGCAACCACTTAGGATGCAGAAATAAACTATTGTGTGTGCAGTCGTTCAAAGAAGCTACCAGAAACCTTTAAAAAAAAGCCTTTGTCTTAGGCATCAACTACTAGGAGGCCTCGCTTCACAACACCTGAGAAATGGTCCTGTCATGGTGCCAGGCAGCTACACTTCAGAATACAGGGAAATGACAGGAAAAGGCGGTTGGGGATGTGGAAGCACAAGGGAACTTGGAGTGAGATTGTGGATCTAGAATTTCCCCTGCCATAGGGAAGGCTCCTTATTAATTGTCCTTTTCTCTCTTCACGTAGGTGATGGACAGCTCAATGCCCCTTATTGGGGAGCACGTGGAGGAGGACAGGCAGCTCATAGCTGATCTAGTTGTCTCCAAAATGGCTCAGCTTCTTGTGACTGCAGGATCTATGCCCTCACCTCTAAGGCCTTGGGTAAGGACAGGCAGAGCCTTTCAGGCAAGCTAATGTTTTCACATGCTCTCATGGGTGCTGGGCCAATCAAATGCCTCAGGAGACTGAACACTACTTTACTGCTGGGAAGAGATGTCACGCCATGGAGTGTACAGGATAGTCCTCTGTTACTGGTTCAGGGGGAGCTCTTCCAGAAATCTTTTATGGTGTGTCCATGAAAAATGTGTTTCTCCGTGTTACCATGGAACTGTTGTCTTAGTCTAAAGCATTCATTGGTTTTATGTATCGATACACATAACTGCACCTTGTGACTTGGTGCAGACTTACCATGAGTACACATCTCTATAAAAAGAAGTATCATTAGAAACAAAGACTGTCAACACTTTGCTGGGAAGTGGAGACAATGATGGGGGAAGTTGATGTGGGAGTGGAAGCAGAAGGGAACAGTAGGAACATCTGTGCAAGCAAAGGGGCAGTTATTGCTATGGTGAGTTAGGCTGGGCAGCACGGTGGCAGGAAATGATAATATGCCCAGTGAGGTGCTATGAGAGGTGACAGAACAGTGAACTAGGAAGGCAGAATCAATTTTATAGCATGGCGTAAAATAAATTCAGTAAATCAGACCTGTGCCAGGCAAAGGCTGGATGGATTATATCCTCCTCCCTCTAGGGAAAGTGAAGTCTGATATTTTTTGCAGGGATTATAATGAAAACACAGAGAATAGGAAGATATTCTAAGATGATCACCAGCAACACATGATTCAATCCCTTATAAAACCAAACCAAGTGGTCTTGTTCACTGTTGATGAAGCCTCTGAGGCTCTTTAGAGGCATCTGATGCCATTGGAGTCAGCATGGATGCTGCTTAGGAAAACAATGAGTCTTTCAGAAGGCAAATGTACTGTTGAAAAAAAAAGGAATGAGGAAAGTGAAAAAGTAAACTAACATGGCTAAATGGCAAGGTTTGAGAACATATTGCAGAAAAACAGAAATCCATCAAGATAAGGAAATATGACCCTAGTGAAGCCACTGAACAGAGGTATTAATTACAGCAGGCAATAAGTAATAAGGAATTGGAGCCAAGTTGAATTTTGAAAAGTGAATAACTAGAAGGGTTAGAACAAAACAAGAGATCCTTTACGAGAATCTGAAACAAAAAGCCAGTAAAGAAATGGTGTGTTTTCTGGATCATCAGGAATTGGATAGAACAAATACAGAAGATAAGGACACTTCTGAGAAACCAATTTCTTTGCACCAGTCTCCCTGAGGACATCAGAGAGGTAGCTGGAGATGAAGTACTCCCAGAGACTTAAGTGACAGATGAGCTACTGATGCAAAGTGATATTTATAAAAAAAGTGATAAGTCAGGGAGCCAAATTCTTACGTCTAAGAGTTCTGATGGAGCTCAGAGTGGAGTGGCTAAATTACTAATGAAAACATGTAATTTCTTAGTAAGAACAGCTACTGTTTCAGGAATGGAGCATAGCAAATGTATGTAAACTAATGTTTAAAACAGGTTCTAAGGATGATCTAAGAATTTATAGACTGGTAAACTTGCATCTGCTCCTGACAAATTGTCTGAAACATCCATTACAAACAGATAACAGAATAACAAAAAGTTGGTAGATCATGATCTGATTGGGTCTGAAAGTCACAACTTCTTCGAACTTTTATCTTGCACCATTCCTAGAATTCGTTATTCCTTCTCTAGTATCTCACTGAGCATTCTTCCAGAAAGTAGCGAGTGACTAGCTACCCAGATCAAGGACAACAAGAATTCCTTTTTTTCCACCCCATTCTCATTAAAAAACTAGGGGACTGTGGTGTCAACACCCACACAGTCAAATGAGTCACCAACTGGCTGGAGGGCCGCACCCAGAGAGTGGTGGTGGATGGGTCATTTTTGACCTGGAGGGATGTGAACCGTGGGGTCCCCCAGGGCTTGGTCCTGGGGCCTGCACTGTTCAACATCTTCATCAGCAACTTGAACGAGGGGATAAAAAGCACCCTGTTCAAATTCGCAGATGACACTAAGATGTGGGGAGAAGTGGGCACGCTAGAAGGGAGGAATAGGCTGTAATCAGACCTGGACAGGTTACAGGGGTGGGCGGTTGAGAACAGGATGGGTTTCAACACTGACAAGTGCAAGGTACTGCACTTGGGGAGGAAGAACCAGCAACATACCTACAGGTTGGGGAACTCCCTTCTCGTCAGCACAGAGGCAGAAAAAGATCTCGGAGTCATTATTCATACCAAAATGAATATGGGCCAGCAGTGTGGGGATGCACTCAGGAAGGCCAACCATAGCTTGCTGTGCATCCACAGATGCATCTGGAGCAGGTCCAAGGAGGTGATCCTCCCCCTCTATGCGGCACTGGTCAGGCCACAGCTGGAGTACTGCATCCAGTTCTTGGCACCGCACTTCAGGTGGGATGTGGACAACATGGAGAGGGTCCAGAGGAGGGCCACGCACATGATCAGGGGGCAGCAGGTCAGGCCATACATGGAGAGGCTAAGAGACCTGAACCTATTCAGATCCACAAGAAAAGGCTGAGAGGGGATCTAGTGGCCGTTTACAAACTGGTCAGAGGGGACCAGCAGGCATTGGGGGAGTCTCTGTTCCCCAAAGCACTCCCAGGAGTGACAAGAAATAATGGTCACAAGCTGGCAGAGGGTAGATTCAGGCTAGACATCAGGAGGTGCTACTTCACTGTCAGGGCAGCTAGCATCTGGAACCAACTTCCAAGAGAAGTGGTGCTGGCTCCTACCATGGGAGTCTTTAAGAGGAGGCTGGATGAACACCTCGCTGGGGTCATTTGAACCCAGTACTCTTTCCTGCCATGGCAGGGGGTCGAACTTGATGATCTGCTCAGGTCCCTTCCAACCCTACCAACTATGAAACTATAGTTATATCTATGTTCTACCTTGGGTATTTTCCATGCTTCTAGGCTTTGCTGGTTGCCCCTCCACCTCCTCCCCTGTTTTCTGCTACATGTCACGGTTTTTTTAAGCCTTCCCACAGGCATTGATGTGAAGGGAAGAGAGGGGAGCAGGAGGAAAGCCTGGAGGGACAGGTACAGGAAGTGCTTACCTCCAGTGTGGGGAGAGGCCAACCCAGTGGAGAAGACAAGCTGATGAGGTTTTGGAGCATATGCTCCTTCCGTATTGGTGGAAGAAGCCCCCAGACTGGTAATTCTGGCCCCAGAGAGGAGCCACAGAAAATAGAGGTGACCAGAGCTGGGAGCTTTGGCAGTGGTTGATCCCCTGTTAACCACTGCAGAGAAGGTCCTCAGGGGACCAGAAGAGCACCAGCTGCATTTAAGGAAACCCATGCTAGGGAGTGGAGTGGGACTGCTGGGCCCATGAAGCAGGGGCTGGAGGAGGAGGTGAGTGTGAAAGAGTGAAAACAGCCAACACCCTGAGTGAACAGGGAAGGTTATTACTCAATATGCATTCACCTCCCGACAAGTAACAAGAAACATCGAAGTGTGGCAAGTGACAGATGGGTATTACAGGTTGGTATTTGCAGAACCTTCCAGTTCTCCCCAGGGCTCAGCTCAACAAAGTGCCAGGCCATTGGGGAGCATGGCCATATAGCACCTATACTTGACAATTGGGTGTTGGATACAACCAAGGCTAGGGACTTTGACTGGGGGATGCCAATGCTCCTGCTTGGACCCAAGCTGGATGTTCCTGGCTAGAGGATCTTGCCCTTCCACTCAGTGTCAGACCGGTTGCCTTATTTGGGATCAGGAAGTAATTTTACCCTGTAGTCAGGTTGATATGGATGGGGGTAGGGGGAAGAAGGGGGTGATGCCTTCCTTTGTAGTAGGGCATGTGGCCCTCTATCTGGGATCTCTTAAGCATATATAGAAAACATTTCATAGAAGCAGGACATTGCCTGTTGGGGATTGCCTGCTTTACCTGTAGTAGGTTAGGGTGTTAGGCCTGTGTTGTTTCAGGGTTGATGTGTTATGTAGAGTTTATATTATTGTCTCTATGGGAGAGTTTGAATAGGAATGATCCTGCCTCAGGCAGGGGGTTGGACTAGATGATCTCTGCAGGTCCCTTCCCGCCCCACTTCACTATGATTCTCTATGATTCTATGATCAGTAACAGAGTCCTTGTTTTCTGTCTGTAAGCTAATTTATGGTCTATAGCAAGAATGTACCTTTTACCCCATGACTACTAAGTTTCTTTAGTACCCATCCTGTTCTCATCCGCCCACCCCTGTAACCTGTCTAGGTCTCATTGCAGCCTATTCCTCCCTTCTAGCGTGCCCACATCCCCCCACATCTTTGTGTTGTCTGCGAATTTGAACAGGGTGCTTTTTATCCTCTTGTCCAAGTTGCTGATGAGGATGTTGAACAGTGCAGGCCCAAGGACCGAGCCCTGGGGGACCCCACTGCCCACATCCCTCCAGGTCAAAAATGACCCATCCACCACCACTCTCTGGGTGCGGCCCTCCAGCCAGTTGGCGACCCATTTGACTGTGTGGGTGTCGACACCACAGTCCCCTAGTTTTTTAATGAGAATGGGGTGAGAGACAGTGTCAAAGGCCTTCCTAAAGTCCAGAAAGACTACATTCACTGCTACCCCTGTGTCTAAGGATTTTGTGACTTGGTCATAGAAGGCCACCAGGTTGGTCTGACAGGACCTGCCTCTAATGAACCCGTGTTGGTTGCCCCTAAGCATAATCTCCCCTGCTAGCCCCTTGTGGGCATGCGCCAGGATAATTCTCTCAAAAAACTTACCCAGGATCGAGGTAAGACTAACTGGCCTATAGTTTCCTGGGTCCTCCTTCCTCCCTTTTTTGAAAATGGGAACCACATTGGCCCTCTTCCAGTCCTCTGGCACCACACCAGAGGGCTTTTGTGCCCTCTTGCCTCCTTTGATCCATGTTGGGATTACCTCCCTTTGGGCTTGGAGGACCGTCTCCTTAAGAAATGACCACTCTTCTTGGACACCCAACTCCCCTCCCCTCTGGGACCTCAGTGCCTCCCCGACTATTCTCCTTACCTCATTGAAGTCCGCCCTCCTGAAGTCCAGAGCTGCTGCCTTGCTGCAGGCCTTTGCCACCTTGCGCTGGATGGTGAATTCCAGCAGGCGATGATCAGCCCTGACCAATGGCTCTCCAGGCTTTTCTTGAACACCTCCAGTGATGGAGTCCACAACTTCCCTAGGCAGTCTGTTCCACTGCCTCACTGTTCTAACAGTGACATTTTTTCTGGATATCCAATTTAAACTTACTTTGCTGCAACTTCAAGCCATTAGTCAGCATCCTCCTACCTGCAGCAAACAAGAAAAGGTGCTTTCCCACTTCTTTATGGCAGCCCTTCAAGTATTTGAAGATCCATGTTCACCATAGCAAGGTTAACAATAGTAACTTCAAATTTTGTATTGGTGCTGTTACATTTAAAAGGGTGTGACTTGGGCTGAATGAGGGACAAGATGCTAATGAAACTCTTATTCTCTGTTATAAAATGAAATGATTGAGTGTGTTCCAAGGTGTAGGCAGGTTACCTAGCCTTCTGGCTGGCTTTCTTCCCTGAGGAGTTTCTCAGCTGGTCTTCCCAAATAAAAGTCTTTAAGCAACAAATGAGCAAACATATAAACAAACAAAATCAGACCCTGCTGCTCTGTTCTGGACACAAAGATGGGAGCACCTTTGGCTCTGGCCCCAGCACAATAGCCTGACCCCTCCACATAGCAAGCTATTGTGCTCACAATCCACTTCCTCCTCCTCCCCCACTTACCCTTCTGGTAGCTTTTTTAAAGCCCCTAACAGGACACTCCCTATCCCCACAGCTGGGCTTTCTCAACAGGTCAGACTGTTCCCTCTGGCTTTCTCTTATTGTGACAGAAAAAGCCAATGGTTTTACAAACCTTATGGTTTTACAAACCATAAGGTTAAGGCATGCCCATTCTGTAGGCAGTGGCACACAAGGCAATGATATAGCTAGCGTTACATCCAGCTGCCTTTGACTTCCCAACTTAAGTGGCCATGTAACCTTTTACAACCATTTGCTTTGATATAAGACTAAAGGGGCTTGATTTCATGTCTGTGGAGTTGTAGCAAGATGCCATAATTGCACTGCTGATGAACCCCTTATTGTGAACTCCGGCAGCACAGCCCAGGCAGAGGAAGAAGAGCAAAGCCAGACTAGAGATCCCTTCATGGGTGTTGTTGACATATTGGAAAGCTATGTGTGGGACAGCAGTCCTGCCCGCTGACATTTAGGAAACCCCTTATTGTGATAGCCACCACTAAAAAAATCTTTTTAACCCTTTATTAAAGAGACAGAGGGAAAGGAGGAAAAACATGGCATTTAGAATATAAGGTATTATGGAAGATTATTTTTCTTTATAATATCCTAAAATATCTATTCCTTTTTCCTTTACCTGTAGATTTTTTTTTTTTGATAAGGAGAAGCCCTTATTGATTGTTGTTTAGATAATATTTTAGATGGCATTAACTATACTTTTTGCAGAAAGAGAAAAAGTTAATTGAAATGGTCTGGAGCTGGTCTTGCAGCTGTTGAAGTTTGACCCTGTTTTCTTTAAAAGGCAAGTAGTCAAGAGAGAGAAAAGCATAGCAAAGAGAAAAAATGCAGCTTCTCACTCTGGCACAGATTTTCACTTGTAACATGGCTGCTGGAGAAGTACTGGCATATCACATGGCTTTATCAGCCCCTTCAAGACTGAGACCTGAATGGACCAGTGTAAGGCAGTTTATGGAATTGTTTTAGCTGCTTCTCTAGTAATATGTAAACAGCAGTATTGCAAAAGGTGGTGCCATTTTGGCTGGTTAAGTCAGCTGAGTATTAGATGGAAGATAAAGTGAGAGAGAAATAAGGTGGAGAAGGAAAATGACACATGAAGATGGGTGACTTGCAGAATCCTATTTGTTGAGTAACCCTCAGATAAGCTATGTCTAAGATGGGTTGGCATCCTCACCCCATTAATGTTAACTAACTGGAGCATATTTCAGTGTTTTTAATTATAAACATTTCCTCCTGTTTCTGGCTCATTGTCCTGCAAACCCAGGACTTTCTCAGAAGCCTTGAAGATCTTTTATCAGTGTCCTTTTAATGTAAGCAGTCCACTTTGTACCGGTCTATTTGTCTCCAACTTTCCTGACTTTCCTAAACAATTTTATGTAGCAGGCTTAGTTAGACAATAGCCTTGGACAATTTAGGGCACAGGCCTTTGCACAACAGACCCGGTTGTTTAATATATTTATAAACTATCGGAAGGAAGGAAGGTGGTGAGCAGAATGATAACTAATTCTACAGATGACACCAGGTTGTTCAGGTTAATCAGAAACAGGGAGGACTGTGAAGAACTTCAGAGAGACTTAAACATGCCAAGTCAGCACAATGGCAAATGATATTCAGTGCTGATAAATACAAAGTAAAGCACACGAAGGGGTAGGAGGGGTGGATAAAACTATCCAGATCCTGTGCAGGGTTCTAAATTAACTGTATTGGCTCAAAAAAGGGATTGAGGCATCTTTGCAGACAGCTCAGTAAGAACCTCTGTTCAGTGTATAGCTATGGCAAAACGTATCAAACCACCAGGTGGTAGGACACATACAAGAATGAGACGGTAAACAATACACAGACACTTATAATGGCTTTATATAAAGGCAGTGGTGTTACTATAGGTAATTGTACCTAATTATACCTGACCAGAACTGAAGGGAGTTCTGAGGAGAGTGATAAAAATGATCAAGGGCCTGAATACATTCCAGCGAAGGTAGATTAGCAGTTTCTGTTCTCACTGGTTCTTGACACAAGAACAAGGAGACATGCAATGAAAGTGAGAAACGGACAGAAAGAAATACCTTTTTGGTCAACATAGAATTAAACTTGAGAACGCATTGCTGCAGGATGTCCTGCGGGGCAAAGAATGTAGCAAGATCCAAAACAGGATTGGACATTTATATCAATAGCAAAGACTTCCAGAATGGTTATAATTATACCAGTTGTGTGGTACAGATATTAAATATTCAAGCTTTGGAGCATAAGATGATCTGTAACTGTTGGAGATCAGGATGAGAAACAGTGTCCTCATCAGGTTACCCCACAGCTGCCTACTATGGGCTGCTTATATCTTCTCTTGAAATGGTTAGTACTGGCTGCTGACTAAGACAGAAGAATGGCATAGATGGACTTTGTGCCTGATCTACTTCAACAGTTTCTGGCTTCCTAAATGCACTAATTAAATATGTTAACTTCACTATCATTCTCTCTTAGCAAACAGTGTCAGTTCTTTTTTCTAGTCATCTCTCCAACACCAAACTATGGACTTAATGGACAAAATGCTGGAGTGTGTGTGTTTAGAAAATACTACAATAGTCTAAACCTCTCTCAATCACTCCTAGACTTCTCTGTTGAGATATTCTGTTGATTGTAATGATTGTTTTTGCAGCCTCAGCAAGTCCAGCCTCAGCCAATGAAATCACAGATGCAGCCTCAGCCTGGACCCCAGCTTGGACAACTGTCCCAGCCACGACCACCTCCTCAAGGTACTATATTCTATAACCAATAGCATAGAAGCCCTATACCAGTGATTCCCAACCAAGGTGCCTCAATATCCTCTCAAGGGTGCCACGGGGTGCTGTGCAATGTTAGTACCGTTAAGTTTACAAACATGATTCACAAGATAAACCCAGAGATTTCAAATCGAAATCCATAGTTGTGGTCTTTAAGGGTTCTTTGCAACAGAAAAATGGCTATGTTATTTTTGGTAATAAAAAAAACTGAAAACTAAGAGCTGGCATTTTTCGCCTATTCAGGGGTACCTTAAATCTAAAAATGTTGACAGCTACTGCCCCAGATGGATCAATTTAGCATCCAGTTCAAACGATACAGAAATATTTCATCACTGAAATTGCTGCCAGTGCCATAGTGAAGTAAGCAGCTATTTAATAGTTCACAGCAATGCTCCACAACAGTTCAGGACAGGAAATAATGCAGAAGAGTACATGCATTTGAAAATGAAGCTAGAATTGCAAAGTGGAGTTGCCTGAACTGGAATTTGGGCAGGACACTGGAATAACAACTTTACCCTTGCACCAAGTTCTTACAGGATCTTTACTAGGTATTAGGCTGCACTTGGATAAAATATTATGGAGCACTCTTTTGTCTATTTTCACTTGTCAAGAGCATAAATTTGTGTCTGTAGAGTGGTTAAAAAGTCACATCCAACTTCTGCTTTGAGGCTCTCCTACCTAAGAAATGCTGAAGCATCCACCTACTGATAATGGGATAGTAAAAAGGCACAGCTAGTGATATGGTATAAAGAGGCATAGCTGGTGATACGGATAGTAAAGAGGCATAGCTGGTGATGTGATATACAAGTGCCATATCAGCCCTATCCAGAGAAGGAGCTGCTGATTCAAACGAGCAGACACTGCTTCCATTATGTGGCAGGGGAGCTCATTTTCCCACTGATTCCAGCCTTCCTCTCTCACAGTTCAAGCTTATGTATAATATTCACTATGGACAAGAAATGGAGAGTGCAGCACCTTAAGATGGATCACAAGGGAGAGTGCAGCACCTTAAGATGGCTCTACTGGGGGGAAAGGAAGGCAGTGGTTAAAGGCAACCGTAACAACTCCAGAGATGTGGATGCGATGCCGGTGGCATACAAATGAATGGTGACTGGTGTCCATAACTGATTTGTTCCTAATTTCTCTGCATGAAATGAGCCCAAATATTTCTCTCTTTATTGGGCCCATGCATCTGCTCCTTGTTTGATGCATGTCTTCTGCACCCTGTATCTGTCTCATGTATATGTTCTTTTCAGGAGGTCCACGCCAGCCTCAGGGATCTCCATCTTCCCGGACAGGAGCACCTCCCCAACAACGGCTCTCTCCTCAGGGACAGCAGCCCCAAAGTCCCCAGTCCAGCTCACCTCAACAACAGAGGTCACCTGGATCCCCACAGCAATCACGATCAGCCACTGGGACCTCCCCAGTTCAGGCCTCCAAGCCAGGCACCTTCCCTCCACAACAGCCTCGGCCCCCTGCGCAAGGACGGGCTCCTGGTCCACAAAGCCTGGGTGAAATGTCCAAGCAGCAGGGCCCTCCACATCCACATCTAAAGTAGGTACCCTTGAAGCTAGTAGATTTGGAGAAGGGGCTGTTGCCAAAAAGGCCTTAGCTTGGCACAAATGTCAGCTCTTCTCGGAGCCCCATTGCCTGACAGCTCAGAGATGAAGGCCTAGGCAACAGTGGCATACTTGGGGCATGTCTGATTGTTTCTCAGAGGGGAAAAAGAGGTTCTCTGAGTCTCAAAGATTTCACATTTTCTTTTCATTCACTCCCATGCTCCTTTCTCCTTGCCCCTCCTCCCCAGCACATCCCCAATAACTCAACACAGCTGTCACTCTCTCAGACAAGGCATATTCCCCTCAGAGCCTCATGTGCCCAAGGGATTTAGACAAGTCACTCATTTACTTTTCTCTGGGATTAGGGTTTACACAAGACTCTTTAAAAATTTCCCACCTTGGAAGCAAACTTGCGAGCACTAGGATGAATTGGGCTGTATGCAGTTGGTCACGACTGATGTAAGCACTTGGTTGGAGTAGAGCAGGCCTACACAATACAGTGCTTAAATCCTTGATAGTTTCTCTTTGTTGGTACCTTTGTTAGAATCATAGAATCATAGGGCTGGAAAGGACCCCAAAGGATCGTTGGGTCCAGCCCCCTGCATGAGCAGGAAAGACGTCTGAGGTCAAAAGACCGCAGCCAGGTGGCTGTCCAGTCTTCTCCTGAAGACCTCTAGGGTAGATGATTGCACCACCTCTAGGGGGAGCTTGTTCCATAGTCTGGACACCCTAGTTGTAAAGCGGCTTGTGCTACTGTTTAGAGGGACAGTATCTTCCATGAGTTTGTGGCCGTTGTTTCTAGTTTTCCCCCAGGGCGCCCTGGTGAACAGTTGTTCACCGAGCCACTGATGTACGCCTCTGATATAGCAGTAAGCCACAATCAGGTCCCCTCTCAGTCTTCTTTTCTTTAGGCTGAAGAGTCCAAGATCCCTCAGCCTCTCCTCATATGCCTTGCCATGCAAGTCCCTGATCATGTGGGTCGCCCTTCTCTGGACCCTCTTGAGCGTGGAGCAAACATGGAAGCAGCAGCAGTGGGAAATGTTTCCAAGAAGTATTTCATGCAAGCAAGGCAGTGTCGTCACAAGAACAAATGGGAATAAACTGTCCACAGATACATTTAGGCTGTATATTAGAAGAAGGTCCCTAGCCATCAAGGCCGCATCCATACAAACGCAGACATTTGTTTCCCCAGGGACAAGTAGCAGTGGCACACCTTGCCATGAGCATTCTGGTGTGCGGTAGGTTACCCTGGGTGGGGTAGAAGAGGCTGGGGCCAGAAACTGTGCTGGCCCCGGCAGTCTTACCTGGGGTCCTGGGAGCCTTGTGGAGCTTCAGCTGCAGTGCTCCTGCAGCAGGGAGCCTGGCCAGCAGCCAGAGTGTGACTCCAGCTGGCCAAGCTCCAGTTTTGGGTAGTGTGTGTTGCCGCCATGTGCACCACCTCACTTTTTTTTGGCGTGGGTTTTTTTGACCCTGGGATCAAAGGTCCAAAGGTCTGGGACTAAAGGAACAAAGGTCTAGAATAGTCAATTGGAGAAGTGGGTGAGAACAGATTAAATACCCTTAAAATGGAGCTTGATATGGTTATGTACAGGATTACCTGAGGTGGCTGCATGTAGCTGGACTTGATGACCCAGAAGTCCTTTCCAGTCCTATGTTACTGGACAAGGCCTAACAGGCTTGGTGCACTGCTAATTATACAAACCCTCAGATAAGGTATGATTGGGTTTCCTGCCAAATGAACCAACGGACTCTTAAATCTGGCCTCAGCAGCTTTTGCCAGGGGGCAAGTGAGAGCTTGGAAATGTGCCTGATCCTCTGAGAGAGCTGCCCAGAGCATGAACCATTAAGGTGGCTTTGAAAGTAAGCTCTCATCCTGCCAGAGGCAGTAATCCCTTGGTAGGGTTAGGCCTTCACCTTTTTCACTTGCTTGTTTTGCATTTTTATTATTTGTTTGTTGAGCTTTTTAAACAACAGGTTTGCTGCAAGGTATGTATTACATATTTCAGGTGGGGGAGTCACAAGCCAGAACCAGTAAGGGGAGTACAGGGAGGCACCACAAATGTTGCTGGATATGGCCAGCTGCTCAGTTTAGCTGTCATGGTATTCAGTGGAAGTCATTCCAATCACTTTAATGAGAGATCAGTTCAAATAACTGCTATTGATTTGTGAGTTTGTTTGTTTTTTTTCCTTTAAATGAAGGCTTTGAAAATCCTTCCTCAACTTTCCCACCGCTCTGAACATAGACTGGACCATGAATATCAGTCATTCCCTCCCTGTAAAGGACCCCTGTGACTTCCCAGTGAGACACTGCCCTTTTCAGTCCCTTATTGTAGTTTTAAACTTAACTACTGCAATTGCAACACACAGCATCACACAGCCAGCTTTAAACTACCACCTTCTCCCACCCTTAGTGCCTGGATGAAACCTCAGATTCTTGCTGAGCACAAATCCTCTTTCTGTTTCAGCAAGTCCCAGTCCTTGACAAACACCTTCAGCATATCTGACTCATCTCAGCGGGGGAATGCCAGTGAAGATGAGGCCAAAGCTGAAACCATCCGCAACCTGAGGAAGTCATTTGCTAGCCTGTTTTCTGATTAATAGCCTTGAAGTCAAACCAGTGATTTTGTTAGCCCACGTTCTTCATATCAACCTGCCCGATGTCATCCAGGAATTTACTCAGTGGTAAATAATGGTTCATGCAGAATCTGAACAGAACCCCGAAAGAGATCTTAGCTTATTCCCTGGGTAAAAAGGAAGTTAGAAATCTGTACATCTTTCCATTTTAATTGAAGGATTGTTCCAACATCGATCAGAAAAGTGATAACGTAAAAACACTGCACTTTCTTACTTGACCCATCCCTTCTTTGTGTGTACATAGTCAGTTTGCTTGAATAACCCAAATTATTTAGAAGTTATTTATATTCCTATTCTGCCTCTCAGAACCCGACACGAATAGGGGTGAGCAAACTAGCCTGTCTGTTGCCTTGCATATAATCTATAGAAGTGTTAACAACTCAATTCCAATTACAGAATCTTTATTCTTCTTGAAGCTGCGCCAGAAAGTGTGTCAGCTGATTTCAGGTGGAAATATTTAGGACCAGTAATTAGAATAAGCATCAGTTTACTTGTAAAGTAAGTCTTTTTGATCTGGAAATCATGGCAACATAATGAATTTGGAACCTGATGAAGCCAGCTTTACAAAGTCACTTTTCTGAGCAAAACCATATTTCAAGTCAAACTTATGTCTTGAATATCAGTAAACTCCAGAGATCACATGAGCAAGGCTTTATGATAGACGGGTCTGCTCAGGATCATTTTTTCAAAAGCAGTTTAAATGTCTCTGTTTCATGTCTTGAGTTTATGTTCCTTGTATGTGTTTCCTGATTTCCAAAAGAAAGGTGTCATAGTCTAATCCTGCAGCTGTAACTCAAAAATAAACCAGAAAGTGGGACTTGCACACGTCTTGCAAAAAAAGCTTGATAATTTATGTTCGAATACAGTTCACACAAATTCCAGCTAAAACCCTTCTAAGCCATTGAGTCTGAGTAATCTGATGACTTGTTGGTTACATCTGCTTAAATGTGTCCTTTGAGGGAAGTGTAATTAATAGCAGAATGCGTAAAGTGTTCATAGCTGGTATTGACTGTTCCGTGGTACAGAATGGATAGAGCTAAGGGAGGAAATCCTGGCCCCAGTGAAGTCAGTGCCACAACCCTCATTGACCTTGGTAATGTCAGGATTTCACCCCCTGCAGTTAGCACAGGGTGAGAGACCTGTGACTGGACGTCGTCTCCTGGAGAACCATGTTACGTGAGTAAGGGAAGCCTCAGGGCATCACATAATTTACATGTAAAGGTGCATGTACAGTCAGGTCACAGCTGGGACACACCTGTATCTGATCACCACGTTGGGGTGACTGTCCTAATGAACATCCTTTGAGCAAGGTACTGATCAGTATTAGGGGGACTCCAAGAGATCATTTTTACTTGGAGAAATCCAACGAGACCAGTTCCCTTCTGACATGACCTTGCTGACTACTGTTGTTTTGGATTTTTTTTTAAACCAACCCCAATATACAACCTCAGGGCTGGACTCGAGTTCATGGCCCCTTTTGAAGCTCATGTGGGGTTCAGTTCAGGCACACAATTAGGGCAAATACAGATATTACACTTTTACCAGTATAAATGATCAGAAACCGGTCCATACCTGTAATAGAAGTTCAGTGCACACAGATTGGTTTAAAAATGGTGGAAGCTGGTCTCCACCAATGGGCAAACGTGTGTTCTGTTCGCTACTGATCTAAACAATGCCACTTACAGAAAACTGCATAACTTAGATTGATTTTGCCTTGGGCTTTTTGAATGTACGTACCTAGCCTAGGGGTATTCATAGATCAGATCAGGACTGGGCAAAGTCCCAGATTAGGGTCACAGCAGACTCCATTTTCCAGCAGCCCATGCCCTGTTGCTGTGGCCAGTTTCCATGGAGACCCCAGAAGCAGTGCAGCCATGACAGCATGGGGCCAGGGTTTCAATGGAGACCAGCCCCAGCAGCACTGGCAGAGCACATGGCAGGGCGGGGAGCTGCTGCGGGGCCGAGATACTGCAGCAACAGGAGCTCTGGACCACTGTCATCTGCCCAATCGTATGCCCTGCCAGCACTGCTGGGGCTGGTCTCCAAGGAAACCCTGGCCCCACACCATCACAGCTGCACCGCTACTGGGGTCTCCATAGAAAACAGCTGCAGCAACCTGGGCAGGGGATGCTGGGAAATGGAGTCTAACCACTGGCCAGATCTCCAATTTAGCCCACCCCTGGATTAGATACATTTCACCATACAGCTCAGTTTGTGGTTTAATGCTGTGCTGTAATCTGAAATGGCATTGAAAAACCCAGATAAACAAGCGAGGCTGCAGCTTTGCTCTCTTGGACTTTACATCAAGGCTGGCAACACTACCTGCAGGGCACCTGTAATGAATGGGTAGAACTAGTGCAGCACAAAAAGCTCCTAATTGTCCTCCTGACTGGTCTTTGTGAGCAAAATGGCTTTGGTGACCTATGCATTTTCAGGCTGGCCACCATGCACTGGGTCCATTTGGCACCTCATTGGAGAGCCATTTAAGCCAATGATTTGTGCCTGGAGTTTAGTATAAAAATGGAAAATAAACACTCCTAATCCATTTTTTTTTCTCTAGCTACACATTGCTTTTCCAGGTTTGCTAAGCAGCTAAACATGGTGCATCATAAATACACATTTATTGCTCCCCCGTATGAACGAGAGAGAACAGATCCTGCTGTTTTGCAGCCTCCACAGCACTGCAGGGTGATAAATGACCTGGAGCACATGCTGTCCCACTGACAAGAAAAACAGCTGATTAACAGGCTCCATTTTTTTTGGAGAGGAGGTAATCCAGCTCCCTCACCAAAGATGGGTCACACCCCATCTGACTTCTCCTTCTTCCTCCCTCAGAACTGCTGAGGAGTCAATGTTTCCAAGGTACATCACAGATAAAGAAAAAGGCTGCTTATTGAAGGGCTTCTCAGCTGCTCCCCACCACCTCTCCCCTTCTACACATGCACACACACACACACGCACACCCACAACTAACTCACACGCTTATCTTCCTTTTTCCAGCACTATCTATGCAAAACTTCAATAAATAGGGGACTAGTCAGATCAACCCAAAGTAGTCATTATAACTGTAGCAGCTGGATCACTTGGTGATGCCAGCAGGGCACTCACTTCCCGATAGCTATGATGATAGGAAAACAGCGTTGACTCAGTATACAACTCAGTATGCAAAGCCAGTATGAAAGTTATAGGCTGGTCTCTTCTGGCCCCCACATCCCGACCTAACATTCAGCACAGGCTACAGCTTTCCAGCTCCTAATTCCTGCTTCAAACTCAATTATGCGATTAAACTAAGCTAGAGTATACCTTTTAGCAAGACATTCTATCTTGATGTAGAGTCATGTAAAGGAGAATCCACTGCATCATTCTCGTGGATAATTAGTTACCATCATGGCGAAAATTACACTACACAAAAGCTCCCGGAGTTCTGTAATTTTCAGGAAACCTATGTAACCCCCAGTTGCACGGCCAGCAATGTCAACTGAATTGAGAGAGAGATTCCAGGCAAGTGCATGGCATTACAAGATCTTAAGAGATTTGTGTATATTTTATGTTTATTACTATCGACCTCTAACTCTATCTGTATTCACTGTGCTATGATACTACTTGAGCCCTGAGAGAGACCAAAGGCTAAATGAACAAGCCATCACTTACTTATTTGAAAAGAACGAAGGAAAGTCAGAGGCAGTGATATCTGGGAATGCAACTATTTTATTTTAAGAGTCAGTTTAAGGTGACACTCAAAATTAAATCTTAAATAAAGTTTGGCCAATGCTGTAGCTCCCACTTTCATTTAATTCCTCAAAAGTTCTGGCTAGGCAGAAGTGCTGTAAAAGAAAACCTGAACCAAATTCACAAGTTACTCATTCCTCTACTGAAGTCAAAAACATCATGTTTCTACCGGGTGCTCTGGAAAGAACAGCACCGGGAAGGAACATTAGCCTGTGATGCCATAGTCTACTCCACATAAAATGGTGTTTGCCACCATATTGTTAGACTGCTCAGAAGGAAGAGGCATATGGCTCACTCCAGAGGGGCAAGGTGTGATACCTGTAGATGCTTTCTCAGGCAAGTGGGATTCATAGTTGATGAGCATAGCTGAATCACAAAAAACAGCAGTTCTGTGATCAAGGATGAAAGAATTATGGTTCATGTTGTTGGGTTTTTGTTTTTGGGGGCGTTTTGCAGGGTGGGTGGGGAAGGTTGGTAAATAAATTATTTTTCAATCTTTCCCATCAGGGACACGTGGCCCCTTTTAAGGATCTAGTGTTGTTCACAATCCCATGTGATCCAGAGTAATGCCAGGGTTTTAAAGACCTACAAGCCTGTCATGGGTGTCACTACACTTACTTCTATTTACCCACCTGAGGCAGAGCTCAAGCACTGCACACTGCACTTGAACAGTTTTCCTTCTCATCCATTTAACCACGGGACATAATGGCTTATCATTAGCATTAGCTGCTCTAGAGATATTGCATTTAGGTAACTGTTGAAGGTAGCAGACACCAGGTATTTGAGTTCTTGTGGTTTCGTGCAATTATGTGAACAGATTGCACTACCGTCTGTTGTGGAAAGTGCCACGTTGACACAGTAAGTGACCATCACAAAATACTAACCAAGCTCCAGTTACCAAAATTAGGCGTATTCATTCTAACGTGGTCACATTTACCAGTATATGTGGCAAATCCTCTCACCAGCACCAGAAGTTAACTCATGCCACAATTTATTCCTGAAAAACAGCTTGTAAAAGTGTTTGGTGGAGAAGCGCAGGAAGTATTAAAAACACAAACACATTTGAACTAGTTCATATGTGGTTACCTGAAACAGAAACGTACATTTCTAGTGTATTCTCCATTGCAATATCAGGGCAGGATACCAACTGCTGCCAGCATTCCCTTTCTCTATGTATAGCCCACAGAATACCGAGCATCACTTGGATGCATGTTTAGACCACTTAGCTATCAATTCTACTTCAAGGAAAACAACAGCAAATGACATACTGGAACTAGCATAAATAAATGATAATTAAAGGGAAAGCTCACTTTTGAAGGGGAAACTGTCTTTTAAATTTGACTGCTATATCAATAGTCAGTGCATTTCAGCCCAGTACCTACAGGCAAGAGGGAATATTAAATAAAAATTGGTACTAGCAAAAAAGTTACGGTTAAATCTTGACCCCAATGACATCAGTGGCAAAACTACTACTTATTTCAGAAGGGTCAGGATTTCAAGTAAGATGGGTAACTGTACCACTGACCATTAAAACATTATATAGGTAGCAGCAATTAACATAAAACTGCTTTCATAGTAAAATATATTATTACTTTCCCAAGTGTTAAAGTACAGGATGAGAGTAGGAACCATCAGTAAACTGGCAGCTGTCATTACAAGTACGAATGGTGCTGGCAACTTCAGAAACCGTGAATGACTACTCTGAAATGTGAGGAAAAAGGCATTTATTTATTAATACATATTTAGTAGAGATCCATTTTATAATGAATTACTGCAGTTTTTCTTTAGTGCAATATCTGTACGTTCATGGAACGAACCTGGTAAGTTGCTTTAGCTAGTCCCATAAGTTACTTCCTTAATTAATATGGGAAGTCTTTACTGGTGCCGATATCACATGCTGAGATGTATTCCTTGCCTGCATCATTTAATACTGAGGTAATAGAATCGCATACCGGGCCATGTGAGAAGTCATTCTAGCTCTCCTGCTGTGATCCTGTCTCCACTGCAGCCAGGGAGGTCAGCCTATTTTATTAGTTAGTTTAGCCAGCTGAAAAAGGCTTATTCCTGCTCTGATTTTAATACATGCACATCCCCCCAAGCTGCCTCGAATGTGTTCACCTTCTACATTTACTTATTTGCAAACTCAGTCTATAGGAGAACACACACAATTTATAAGGTTTGCTGCAGATTCTTAACGTTTGCTTGTGCTTCTCTCCCATTTTGGGTTGCACTGTAGCATGTTTTTACTCAGCTATTTGTAAATCAAGTTGTTTTGTGTTTCATTCTCTCTGTTGTAAAGAAAACCCTGCCCTGTATTCCTTGTGCATTGAGTACCAACATAAAAACTGCTTTTTAAGTAATAAAAATAAAAAGCAACAACAAAAAAAAAAAAAAATCTGTGGAGAATATTTTGGGAGAATTTCAAATACTCATGAGTATCATGTAAACATCAGTTCTAGCATCTCACACCATGTGGAAGAGGTGGCTTCTCTCATCAAGAGTGATTATTAGTCAAGCAGGTTAAGAAAACCTTCCTATGCCCCAAGCATTTACTATCATTATTCAGACAAAAAATAAGACCGAGAACAAGGTAGGATTTGTGCTTCAAGTGTTCTTTATCTGATGCAGCAAACATTAGGCTGGCAGGCTTCTGGTCTCTAAGCAGCACTTCACAGATGGTTAGAGAGCGAGAAGAAAAAGCAGCACAAACTGTCCCAAGTCAGAGCTCTTTGTGAAACAGCCTCCAGTTCTAGGTGGTGCAGCATAACTTCCTACAGAGATCTTGAAGTGAATCAGCTGTTGTGGTCAAGATGCCATTGTGCACACACAATCTCACCGTAATTGTAGAGATCTCCTGCAGCTAGAAAGCAAGCTCAGGAACTAAAATTTAAAAACCCATCAAAAAAAAGAAGTGGCAGTCACATGAACATGCGACGAATGTCCATCGGGCGGCCTCGGGTGGGTCTAGGGGAAAATCTGTCGTTGGGACCCGCTCGTCCTGGAAGTGTTGGATTTGGCCCTGGCAGCAACCCACTTGGATCAAAATGTGGTCTGAATGGAGGAAACCGTCCTGGCGCCTCCCCTGTGCCAGGAATGAGTGAGTTAATTGGGTCTCCAACATACGGAAGTGTTGGTCTCTGGTCATATTCACCACCAATGATCATTGGAGGGTAGATAGGGTTAGGGGAGAAAGGGTTGGGAGGGAAGGGGTTTGGATAGAAGGGGCTGGGGTGGAAAGGAATGGGGTGTGGTGGAGGAGGCAGAAACATCATGTGCCGCCACCTCAGGGCTTCCTTCTTCTGCTTTAGTTTCTTCTTGTAAAGCTGCAAAAAGATAGAAAAAGGATTTCAAATTCTACTTGTGCTTGCCCATCTAGCTTCACTCAAAGAGAGTTTCGCTATCAACCTATCAAAGGTGTCAGGAGCAAAAGAGAGTTCACTATCAGGTTTTCACTGCACATACATAAATAACGGGGTTAGCCAACAGGCCTATATTTAAACTACAGGACTGCTTCGATTCATGCTGACAGTCCTGATAAGCCAGAAGACCTTCCTGTAGCAAGTGTGTTGAGTAGGTTTCTCCCCACAGACTCCCATCCAGATTAGCCTGCAACCCTACATGTATGCATTTATGTTAAAATTCTGGCATAGCACCATTGAAATATTTCAGGTTACACCAAAAATAAGTTTGGCATTTAAGTGGTCTAAAACTGCCAAACAAAATAAACTATATGAAATACAACAGAGAGGAAGGTCATATATATTACACCCACTGATAGTTACTTACAACTAAGGTACTAACACTTTTTTACTTGATGATCTTTAAATTTTGTACAGTTATACACATTTTAGTGACAGGAAAGAGGCAACGTAAGTTGACAGAGAAAGCCCCTTGCTCCTCATCTCTTGCTGTAGTCACTAAAGGATACTGCCTCCGTAGCTAAAAGGCTCAGCTGAGAATGGCAAGATTCACTTCTTAATACAGATGCACTGTTTAAAACTCAGTCACTAAAGGTTATGTCTGCACAGCAGTTTAGTGGCAAAAAGACATGCCTTGAGTTCTAAAGTACAATGAAATCCTCCTTCACAAGCCTCAATGCCCAAAACAACCACCATCCCTCCTGCCAAGAACTCAATGAAACCTCCTGCAGAGACCCTGAAACCTACTCTGAGACTTGGCCATAGCACTCAGTGACGCAACACATTCTTCCCTGCTCCAATAGATTGTGCTGCACATGCAAAGACCCCACTACCTCTGCCACATTTGACCCTTCAAGCCTGTCATTCATTTTTAAGCTCACACAGACACATCCCAAAAGTTATATGTAAAAAATAAATCAATAGCAACCTACTTCTTTCCAGTCCGTGTCACGAGGCCTGGCAATAGGATCTGTTAAGGAGAGGGATAAGAGTCAAGAGATTTACATTAAAAATAAATAAATAAATAAAATCACATTCATGACTGAGCAGACAGATTTGGCTTTTAACTTTGGGGGGCTCTATAGAGGAGTTAGATCAGGCCCCACATTTCCATATAAAAAACAATGATTTTTTGGACCTATTGGAATTTCCATAAAATGTACAGGCATTCACTATACAGTCTATTTGTTCTCTCTGTTCCACATCAAATATCTATTCATGAAGTAGAAAAATCCCCAAAATACTGTCATTGACAGTTTTGGACTTGTGACAGAACTTTGCCACTCAATTCCAGCTACCTGGTTTCTTACATAAGCTCTTGGGAAAGATGCTGACAAAGGGTCTCTACCCCCATCCTGTTAACTTTGCAATAAAGAACCTGGGTAGCTACAGAAACAACTGAAAACAAGGAGTTAGGCACCATGTGAGGTAGTTCTCTGTGGTCCATCACCAAGTGCTTGGCAGACCATCTTGTTTCCTTCAGTCCAAGAACCACCAAAAGAAGCATCCAACTATATTATGCCTCTAAGTGACTGACATTGGCTAGTATCTTGAATAATTAAATTCACTTTCCAGTTAAGGCACAAAAGTAGGTACCTGAGGAACCCCTTGTCAACCTGTGCTTTAAAAGAAGCAGAGTGGCAGCTTTGACCCTGTTCACATAAGCACATACATAATTAGGAGAAAGGGGACATGTAAGAAATACCTCGGAAATCCCGCAGGTATATAAATCTCCACAAAAGCTGGTCATTTGAAGCTGTGTAGAGGTCACGGCAAACAGCAGACAGAGAGACGAGAGCACGGACGTCTAGCAGTCTGAAAATCCGTAGCTTCAGCTCAAGAGGAAGGACCACTAAGCCAAACACATCTGGCAGGTTCAAAGCTGGAGTAGTGACAGAAAACAGGAGCATCATTTGCAATGCCTGAATCTTCCCTGTTCCCAAAGGTTCCTTCTCATTTTTTGAAAATTATGATGGCTTTTGGTCAATTCATTTTTTTCATGGAGCTTTCAGATGCATAAGTTACTTAAAGAAGTGCTGTTATGTGACTGAAGAAGGATCCATTCTGCACATGCAGTCAACAAAATGTAGATACAGCACTGGTACGTCCTTGTTCCACACTACTGTCCATCATAACTCCAAGAAATGCCTAGAGATGCTAACTCATGTTTAAAGGGTACAGAAGAGAAATGGATTGGAAAAGATAATGGCAATACTTTTTAATTCCACTAATTCACATAAGACTTAGTCATTCATTCCTGTAAAAACCAAAATGAAATTGCAAAGAATCCAATTGGGTGAGTTTACACTTCGATGAAAACCTTGGTGATAAAGTTGAGATATATTATAGCAGTTCCTAAGTAAAATATCCTTTATTATAACTACACAAGCATCAAGTTAGGTTGCCTTCATACCAAGAATCTCACTCCTAAATTTAGTACTACATCTTGTGTTCTATACAACTTTTCCCTTATTAAAAGGTACAGATCAACAGAACAGGGCTCCAGCAAAGTTAACACTTTGATGATAACAAGGTAATAGCCTGCACCACACATGGAAAATTATTTTTTCTGGCTCTATCAGCAACAGAATAAAACTTCATCTTACTATTTGACAACTGAATGTTCTTATCTTGACTTCTACTGGTAGTTTCAGATTTTAATCACTTTACTAACATTTCTATGAAGGAGAAGATGATGTTAATTTAAATATCTTTAGAAGTTAGTAAATTTCTCTAGCTTTGCTCTATGTAGCTATCACTAAATAGTTATTTGGGACTCCTCCCATTTACACCCCAGCACACAATAATATGCCAACTCCTGTTTCTAGATCAGTGATCTCAACCAGCGTACTGCCAGATCTTTTGAAGGGTGACGTGACATAAGCCGATAAGCTAAGCTGATAAGCCAAGCTCAGGCTTGTCCCTGCCTGGACAAACCCCCACCCCTACTGCTCAGCCCCTGTATAAGGGAGGTAAGCACTGTAATATACAAATTGTTGTTTGAAATTGAGTGCTACTCAGTTTACAACAAGTATGGAGGGGTGCCTCGAGTCCAGAAAGGTTGAGAACCACTCTTCTAGATGTTCTCATTCACCTTGTCGGGCAGCAGCCAGAAGAGGGTACACCAGCTGGTCTTTAAAGAGGCGGGATAGTTTCTGAAGATCTCTGTATACCCCTGCAACATTTTCTGTCAAAATAAAAAAGAAGGGAAGAGTTTAACATTAGTAAGTTACTGCAAGAGAACCAGGCAAAGGCTTATGGATATAGTTTGGGTCGTCACCTTAAAAAAAGAAAAAAGAATGGATGCATAGTTCTATCAAGACTCAGAAGTTCCTTAGCAGGTAGCAATACGGGCACAAAATAACAACACAATGAGAGTACTGATGGACCAAGAAACCTGTATTTATGTGGAAGTAGCCAGTGCTTTCTATTCGCATTTGAGGGCACCAGAAGAAAATATTTGGATAATTTAGAACAAATGTGCTCCCGTGCTCTTCTGCCAGATTCCAGGCACAGAAAAGATATACACCTGAGATGCAGGCCCCTACTCAGCAAGTTCTGACATGAGTGGTTGCCTACTGCCTGCATCAAGCAGCCAAATGCTGTGATCTTGGATACACTTCACTGCTTAGCTGTCCTTTTATAGCCTTTCCAATAAAGTCTTGTTGTATCAGTAACTACCCAGGATACAGCACAGCAAACTGAAGCTACTGGCAACAGAGCAGTCATACATACTGTACAGAACAAAAGAGCAGTCAGGTCTGTGCCGATATAAAAATCCAGATTTCTTTCCAATCAGATTTTTCCTCTACTTTTGGCATCCTGGAGTGATAAGTAATCAGCACATACTTTCCACTAAGAATAACGTGTTTAAGATAACTGTAGTGCCATAAAACAAGACAGAGTTAATGTTACTCACCCTGAACCCTCAACTATCACAGAAGGAAAACAATAAAAAGAGCAGGTCCTAGATAGTCCCTTGCTGCTGCCTTAGTGACATTATACACATCCATTTTACAGAAACAGGAGCCCCACAAACAATGGACACATACCCAAGAAGGGGACCCAGGGCATCTCCAGGTTTTTCCCTTCAATAGATCATCATGGAAACTCAAGTCATCTTAACAGCAAAATTCTCAGTAAGTGGCTACACTCTCTTTTTCCGCTCAAAATCATGGCCCGCTACCAGCTGACCTATTGGTTATCCACTTTCTTTATCACCACCTTTGGCAACTCACTCCTCTCTTTCAAATTTCTGCTTTATTAACTGCTTCCTTCCCTCATATTTCAGCTTGCTCTCTCAAAAAAACCATGGTTAGCATCATACCTGGTTCCTGAAAGCAAATGAATGATGATGGCAACAGCTGTATTCTCTTCACACTTTTAATTTCTTTGTTGATTTTTAAAGTTGCTGTCAATAAAAATAAAAAGAAGAAAAAAAACATGTTTAGAGATGACTAAGATCAAGCTCATCACCATCTTACCTTTGGAGACATCTTTAGTTTTAGCTCCCCCAACCATTCTCCGTTTGAAGACAAGGGGAGGTGGGAATTGGACAGATCCAACATTGCCAAGCACATAGCCAACTGCTTCACAAAAAAAGAGGCAGCTAGAATAGCACAGAAGAGAAAGATCTTTATAACCACAGACCAGTGCTACAACAGTTTATCAACTAAAGGAGGTAGCAATGGTACAGTGTACCATTTTTTTCCTAACAAGAACATTAAGAGAAAGATTAGCCCATATTTTAAACCCTAACAAGCAATCATTGATCCTATTCATTAGATGAACACTGTATACAGGAAACCCTCACCATTTGTGGGTTCTGCATTCATGGTTTCAAATATTCGTGAATGCCGAACCGGTTTCTTAAATACACTTAAAGGAGCTCCTCAGGATCTCCGCGCTTGCCGCTGCTGGGCTCCCACCACCACTGCTGGGCTCCAGCCAGAACAACCATGCCCCCCAGCCGCTGGGGGCACTGCATGCACAAACACAGACTGCATTCATGACCACAGTGCTTTATTCACGGGGCTTACGAGAACATATCCTCTGTGAATGGCGAGGGTCGCCTATACAAGGTAGTTACTGCATTGTTGTAAATCCAAGTGAGCAGTACTCCTGACCGGCCAAAACGTTAGGATATAATCTTGGAGAACAGGTGCATGTATCTTGAACAATGTTATATATTGTGCATATTATCACGGCTTTTTTTTTTTTTAAATATACTACTTAAAGAACTGAACCTTTGTATTCTCAGACATAAACCAAGGTCAAAATTAACACCAACTCTGCTAAATGAAACATTATGTATAAAAGAAATCTCTAAATGATATGGAAGTCAGTTTAAGAGAAAGGAATTCCATTACTTTTCTGTAGTGAATACTGGTAGTTCTAATGAGCTGAAGATATAGGACCATTCTTAAAGCAATTTATGAGAGAAACATGGCAAAGGAATAAGTTTGGAATTTGTCAACCAAACTTCACAAATACCAGGGGATAGTATAAATAAAGTACAGCTATACAGAGCCGCCCTAGTTATTTTAATGCCTTCCACTACACTGCAAAGTGCTCAGGGGGTGAGAGAAGGAACGGATCGAAAAAAGACTATCAGCTACTAAAAAGGCTCCCTGCATAGAAAAGCAGTGTATTGACAGGAGGGAGACAATGAACTAACACAATGGCAAGAAGGGACAAGAGCATTAAATATCAAGAGGAAACAGCTCTTCTAGTTTATCTGCCCAGTGGGTTAAGTTGGAGCACTAAAAGGACTCAAAAACAATGTTTCAGAAGGATGGTAGTTGTGATGTAGCACCACCAAAAGGGAGAAAGGGATGTGCACAAGATGATGATTCCAAAGGGGAAAATGAATGAAGTGGCCTCTTGTAACAGCACACATGGAGGCTGTAAACGTGCAAAGTCAAAGGCGAGAGCGATTTCTATGTTCTAACTAAATTACCATTTATGACAATAAGATCTCCCAAAGGCACACAAGTCAAACCAGCAGAGCCATCTTCACATAATGGGTGAGTGTATTGTAGTTTATAGACACCACCACCTCTCCATTTCTCAGGCATCGACACTGCTTTTGCTTCAGTTCCCTGTGAAATAAAAACAAAACATAAAGATAACTAGCTGCATTCCCGAGCAATCTGGTCAAGGCTGAGGGGCGGGGCCAGGAAACCTAAAGCATCTCCAAAAACCTCAAGGAGTATGCACTTGACAGCATAATTAATTTGCAGTCTCTACATAAAAACCAGACAATGCACATAGTGGTAATGGTGTATAAAGAGTTTATCACCACAAGCCTGGCCTGGGCATGTTATCATGCTTAGTTTTTACCATTTATGCATACACAAGTCATACTGATAACACATTATACTATAGTACTGTACTACATATTCTGTATATGCCACATTAATGAAGATGCACATTAAAACTATTCCAAGGGAAGACTGTTGAGATGACTGTTATTCTTCTGTCAGAAAAAGCAAGTGCATTACTATTTATTAATCCAAATTTGTGCACATGCACACACTTTGCCAAGCCCATTATTCAAAGCTGGGAAATGCCAGGTTAAGACTGCCTGCCCAATATGCTAGACAGGATCATCTACTTTTTTTTTTTTTTGCACAGAAACACGAACATCTCACCTGGAGAAAAATGGTGAAACACTGAAACCTTGGGCTCTATTCCAGGCTCTGGAGGGCAATGGACTGTAGAGCAGGCACCAATTCTTCTGCCTATTTCCATTTAACCTGGCCCCTTCCTCCATCTCTTCCCTGTACCAAGCCCAATTTTCCTCTGCAAAATTTGCATCATATTTCAGCACCTTCTCCACTGGCTCCTTTCCCAGTGTTTTTTACACAGCTACCTAACTCCTTATCAGAGTATCTCCCTTTCCCCCACATCTTTGTGAGCCTTCCCCACTGATTGTCAGTCCTAATCCATTAGACCAACCAGCCCCAGTCTTCTCCCGTGGCTCCCAATCAATCACTATACCCAAGGTTGTCTAGTCTCCCTCTCACCCCAGTTCCCCCTCCTGCCTCCTGCCAACCTTCAGTTCCAGTCTAGCTCTTTGTCCCAATCTAATTCCCCCAAAGGTTCAAGGGAAGTCCTGTTTAGCTCTGCATTGCAGCATGCCCAGTGCTGACAGAACCTGGAGGGAATCTACCTATTCAAATATAAGGTCTCTACTGAGTGAACCACAACTTTTTAAACACTCTCACTTGGCCAAATTTGGACAGATTTTCACAAAAGGCTACAGAGTTCCCCACTCTGGGCAACTTCAGGTCCCCTTCTCTGAAGCTTGTGGGTGCTAGAGCTTTTCAAAGAAAAAGTCATGAGAATTTAAAGTGACAGAACAATATTTCTCTCTAGCCACTCTCAGAACTGGCCAAACCATTCTGACTGGAATTACCAAAATAAAGAAATAAATAAAGCAGCTTAGAAAATTCCAGCCTATGTGGTTAGGTTTGGGTAACACAATACAAAACTGAATGGGTCTTAGAATAGGAAATCTCAGCCAGTCTAATAAAGGAAGTTACCAACCCCACCTATAATATCCAGACTTTTTTTCCACTAAATCCTGAGCTTCTACTAGTCAAAAACAAGTATTTTAAATATCCTCCCCTGAGTATGCGTATGTTAGAAATCATAGGTATGTATTTATAAAATGGATCAAATCAGGTGATATTAAAACTAGCTGAAAAGAATTCCTAAATGTATCTGAATCAATTATGCAAACATACAGTTATATTTCTGTGTGGCCCTAAGAAAGCCAGGACTTTCAGAATCCTACACTAGAACCAAAAAAAAAAAAATGGAGTCTCCACTCAGACTTCAGAAAGAGTCTCCATTTCATCAAGGGAACCCTAATTTAATCTCACACAGGGAGTATACAACAATTTTAAATACAGCTGGACAATGTTTATTTCCTCATAATTTTGTGCTACAAGCTTCTATTTCCTACAGCCAAGCCTACTGGCTGACATGGATAGACACAGTTCACAATGCCTATGACTACAATGTTTTACAGTATCTTAACACTAGGGACAAAAGGAGGTGTATAGGCTTACCATATGCAGAGATAAGGAGATTTAGACATTTAACTCCCCAACACTCACTTAAATCAATTGGTGTCAGACCCCCTAAACTAGGCAGACAGTTATATTTGTTGATATGGGCCCTTTAAACTACATTAATCCCCATCTGAGTTGTGAACAAGTGCAACAATGAAATGGTGGGACAAACAGATGCCCATTCCTATGAACCCTGTTCCCGGGTGATATGCAGTGTTAGTTCGAAAGATATATTTTTCTTATGAAGAAGCTGGTGGGAAGGTGAAGCACACACCAACACATGGTTACTTGAATAAAAAACCAACATAAATGCACACAGACTCTACTTCTAAAGTTAAAGCTAAGCATCATCCCTCTACATACAAGTTAAGCAGATGACACCCTCCTACTTTTACAGTCCAGCAGAAAGGCCAGGAGTTGAACAGAAGGCTGCGCTGTTCTTTCTACTTTAATGTACACCAGCAAGATAAACTAAGAAAGCTAGTACTTCAGATGCCCATAGCTGCTCATACAGGTGGAAACAACCAGCAGTAGATCTTGGAGGACAAGACAAATGAAAAAGTTGTTATATTCCTGACAGTCCACAGGGTTTCTCCTACTGAGTAAGAAGCTTCTCTTTCAGTTCTGTACTTACCTGAGGTACATATCCTGTCTCCATCATGAGAAGATGTACCAGAACAATCAAGGCATCAATAGCACTGGTACATTCAGCAGAGTGGTAGAGAGTCTCCAGGGAATGTGGCACTTCTCCATCCACGGCTTCACTGCACAGCATTGGTTCAGAGGGATAGGAACCGGTGCCTTCCTCCAGATCCACATCATCTGGGACTAGCCCAGAGGCAAACTCTAGGCTGGGTCCTGCCTTAAAGGGACAAAAATAAAAAAAGCAACGCAAAATTCAAAAAGTAATCCCTGCATATGCATTACACTGATAAAAGTTTCTCCAGTCCTCTAGTTTCTCCAGTCTTTGATTCTACTGGATTCCACTCTTGGCTCTACCAAAAACTCCCTGCTTCAGTTATGCCAAGTCACTGATTCTTTGTGCCTCTGGTTCCCATTTGCAAAATGGGACCACCACCATGACTACTTTCTTTCATTTCTCTATTTCTAATGTAAGTCCATCAGGGCAGGGTCTGACTTCATGGTATGCAATACTGTATGAACAATGGGCTTCCTGCCACTACTTTAATACAAAAAGATACTAAGCTACACAAGGTGCCTAAAGCAGCATACAGAGCACAAGTCTACACCACAGGATACCATCCTTTAGTTAAACTCTCTCAAAATGACGTATCTAAGAATCTTTGCAACAGGAATAGGCCTAGAAGCCTGAAAATAATTTACCAAAGGAGCCTATCCCTCCAAAAGCCATGCATGTTGGTGCCTTCACCTTGCTTTTCTTTGTTTTATGACACTTAAGATCACTTGGAAACTTGCCTATGTTTTTTTCTTAAAATTTTAGGGGAAAAGCATACTTGAAGGGGGAGGAGGGGTTCTCTTTCAAATGCATACAAAATAGAAATGAGTGCACAATTTAATATTTTAAAATTCATTGAAATAAGGAGCTTGACTTCTAAAGTATATTGTGGCTCTGGGCATCTCCCCCGCATTTTTCCTACATTTTAGAAGTTACTTCCTCATGTATTTATTTTGCATAATACTAAAGCAAACATATTAAGATTTATTTTTTCAAGTTGAAGGCCACACAAAGGCTCTCCACATTCTCCATACTTCTTTACAATTTAGGATGGGTTGCGTTTAGGATTGGTCCCAACACATTAAGTTACTTGGTTTTAAAATTCCTTAAAAAGAAACACTATAACCTCTAAACTACAGGTCTGAGCACAACAGATGGAAATAGGAATCACTCACTTCTCCAGTGCACATTACATCATAGTGGCTAAGTTCATTGGGAGAACCCTCTTCTGATATTTGCTACAATTTGTTTTCACAGTAAAGAAGAGTATGTGGTGTAAGAAATACAACTCTAACACTCCCAAAAAGGGGTGCATATTCTTGTAGGAATCTAATGATTTGTAAAGGGCCCAGGTGACAGGTAAAACACCCTGAAACCATTTAACTAAATTTTCTGGCATGGACAAACTTCAACAGATTATAAACTGGGACAAAGCACCAGACTAATGAGTCATTGATCATACACCGAGCAAGCAGCGAGAATCACAATGCTTCAGGCTTATGCGCAGCTAAGCGGTCTAGCAATCAACATTATAAACATGGCATATCATCATCTGTGCACCGCAGTCCTTACCACATCAATATCATCATTCTTCTCATCTTCACTTGGAGCTTTATGGTCTTCAGATGGTCCATTCTGCCTGCTTTCTTCTGAACTGCTGATCTGACCTTGGCTGATGTTCGAGATGGACGGTTCATGATTATTCTGGAGCTGGGGAGGAGGTGAAGACGAGTGTGGAGATAGGCTGGGTGCTGCATTGGTCTCTTCCAGTAACAAACATATCAAATCCCCTGAAACGATTCCATATGAAGCCAGGGTCTCCTGGTCTTCAGTAAGGGCATCTTTGTTGTTCAATGTTATTGCAAACTGGGTATCAGAACTGCAGAGACAGAAATAAACTGCTATGACATGTGCACTAGCATCGCTTTAAATTATTCATTCCAACTATACAAAATATAGTAGTAGTAGTAAACTGCTTTGTTAAGCCTGAAACCCAGTCTCAATCAGCCCCATGCTAAAGGAAGTGCTGGAAAAATAAATGAGCATAATATAAATCTTTGACAGTGACTAATATAAGTCCCTCTGTTTTTCTCTTTATGATATGTTTACCTAATGCACAGAAACTTACGAAGTGTGAGTACTTAGGAGTAGGTATGAGCGTGCCTGCTTTCCAAGAACTGCCTTAGTCTGCAATGTGCCCTTACAAAACAAATGCATCTGGAAGCCCCCCTAAAGTCACCTATCATCTTGGGCAAATCAGGGCAGAAGTCTTCCCTTCGGGGCCAGCTAACTTTTAAAACAAAGGCCTAACAGTCTAAGCCACCTCGCTTTCCAGTTAAATCAATGCATTTGTTTCAAGAAGCCACATGCAACCTCCCACCTACAATTACAAAGGCGAGCTGTGGGCAAAGCTCTTTCAGTGCATGATTATGTTCTAATGGCACAAAAAGCCATCAGCAGAGATCCTGGTTTTCCCTGGTAAAAAAAAAAAAAAAAAAAAAGGCCCAGGTTTTGGTTTAAAAAAAAAAACCCCGGTTTTTGGTTTAAAAAAAAAAACCCCGGTTTTTGGTTTAAAAAAAAAAACCCCGGTTTTTGGTTTAAAAAAAAAAACCCCGGTTTTTGGTTTAAAAAAAAAAACCCCGGTTTTTGGTTTAAAAAAAAAAAACCCAGTTTTTGGTTTAAAAAAAGTAACCCCCATATGCATTTTCCATGATCAAAATGAAACCCACTATATGATCACAGATGTACATCATTTGTGCACAGATGATGAAGAGTGTGTGTGCGTGCGCACATGCATTTTAATCACAGAGAAATGTGGATTTTGGATTACTTTTTTAAATCTGAAAAGAGTCTTTTTTTTTTTAAATTAGAGAAAACCAGGCCATCACTTAATAGAAAAAGTTCCCTTCTTGGGCGAGTCCTGTAGGAGCCTCTAAATACCACTCTGCAATTAAGGCCCAGTGGACTGGTAGTGTACATGTATACTGGCTGTGAAACAATTTACTTCAGTGTGGCAGATTGAATGGGTTTGCAGCAGAGGAGCAAGTGTTCATTGCTGTGGCTACTTTTCACCAAATTTCTCTGCACCAAAGTTTAGAGATGAATGTATCAAGATAAAAAGTATTACATGAAGGGAAAAAAAAAAAAGCAATTGAGACAAGGATTTTGGGGATGGGAGTGGGTGATATTTTATATTGGTTCCAGTACATGGCTGAGAGAAATTTTAGACAAGCTTTCAGACACAAGAAAACTTGTCACAAAATCTCACCCAACCTTGCAGTAGGTCACACAAGACACACAACCCACTGCCCCCAGAAAAACCCTTGCCTTTCGAGTATTTCCTTTACCCTCACAGCTACACCATCACTCCAGTACTACCGAGAAAATAAACTGGCTACCAGCTAGCCTGAAGAGGAGGCACATTTCAGGTAACAGATTTCATTCCAGATCAGTGTTTCTCAACCTGGTGTTTTAGGCCCAAGACAACCCTTCTTAGATTGAAGCCCTGCCTAGGAAAATGCCAGCTCTTAGTTGTCACTAAATTTTTGATGACAGAAAAAACAATGGTGGTTTTCCTGTTGTGAACAGCTCAGAAAGGCCACAGCAGGTCAGCATGTCTCTAACACTGAGGATGCATACAGGGAAAGCACCAGGTTTGTCTTGCGAATGGTGCGTACCTCACAGTGCGGACAAAGCATGGCAGCCACAGCACCCCTGAAAGGTTCACCGGGCAGCACCCAGGGGGGAGATCAACTGGTGGAGAAGCAGAGGGCTGAACCTCTCCGAGCCCATAAGGGTGACTCCAGGGCCAGAGACAGCCACAAACGCCTGCTGCAACAAGGGTGGTGGCGGCATGGCAGCCAGGGCCCCGGGGACCCGCCTGGGGTACCAGTGGGGGGCACAGTTCCACCCACCTCAGGGGTCCCCCAGAGCCAGGCCCCACCCACAGCCCCACGTCACGCAGCCACGTGCCAGCGCCCCCACCCCTCGCAGCAGCCTCGCCTTCGCCAAAGGGTGGGGGAGGAAGCCAGCGCGCGGCCGAGTCACGTGACCCCTCCCCTCAGACCCCGCGCTGTTCTCGGGGGTCCCAGCAGCCCGCGGGCAAGGCTGTCTAGCGCACCGCCGGCGCCGCGGCCCGCCGAGGGGCGGCGCACAGGGTGCAAAGCTGCACCCCCCACATGGTACAGCCCGACCGCCACGCCCTTCCCCCGGTGGTTGGGCCATACCTGTACCCCCACGCGGGCAGCAGGGCCTGGCACAGGTGCGCGCGCAGCTCCCCCAGCGTTGGCTCCGCCCCCCCCACCTCAAGCGGAGCGGTCCGCTTCTCCAGCCGGACTCGGAGCTTCATGGCGGCGGCGGTGCCTTCTCGCTTCCGCCTGAGGATCCAACCTGGCGGCGCCGACGCAACGGTGGCTGCTGCTGGGGGGTGTTGTTGTTTGGGTTGGTGACGCCGCTTCCTCACTCCATGGGAGCCCCGCCCCGGTCTCGCCCCTAGGTCATGGGGCGCGCCCCCTGCTCCCTGCTGCACAGGTGACGTTGGGGATCGATGATTCGGCGATCCTCACAGGGCCTGCGTCCTGCGAGTGCGCAGGAATGCAGGTGGTGGGTAGGGATGGACTGCGCAGGCGCACGTCGGTGATCGGGTGCTCGGCTAGCTCCCGCGCATGCGTCATAGGCTCGAATCCAAGTGGAGTGGTGGGTGTGGGGAAGGGACGTGACGCAGGATCCGCGCCCGCGCTGGGTAATTGTGGGAGGAGGCAGCGAGGTACGGCCCCTCCCCCAAAGGGGCGCTAGGCGTGGCCGTTAAAACCGTTGGAGGTGACCCCGCAAGGGGAGGGGTGGAAAGGCACAGAGGACATGTAGCGCAGCCTCTGTCTGAGGCAGGATGCTCGCTGTCACACCAACCCATGTAAACCCTTTAACCTGTTTGTAAAAGCACAGGGTGACCCCTGACGTGCTTCACCTTTGCCCCCTACACACACACACACACTCCCCACAGCTTGACCCAGAGGGTCCTTGACCTGATGTCAGCCTCCAAGGAAATGTACAGCTCCTACACATAGAGAGCTACGCCTCCACCTTTTTTCCCTTCTACACAGGGTGTAGCCCTTTATGGCTATGCTCCAATTGTGTGGAGTCCTACCAGGTCTCCATAACCCCTACTAGATCGTAATGGCCACTGGACAGCAGGAGGGCTAGTTCCTCCTGCATGTTCCCCATGCTCCTGGCATTAGTGTACAGGCACCTTAGTCTTTCTACTCAGGCCCTCGATTTCCTGACACACTGAAGGAGAACTATTCCCTCAGCTCCCACAAGAGTAGCCCTCCTGGTGTCCCTATCTATGGAGCTTCCTTGTACGTCAGTCACTGAGCATTCTCCAGTCAATGTTTCCCTGTCCTCCAGCAATCTTAGTTTAAAGACCTGTCAAGAGTATCGGCTATCCTGACCGAGAACACAGATTTAACTTCTCCACGTGAGGTGGATGCCATCTCTTCCCAGGAGTCCTCTCTCCCTGAAGTACGTGCTGCGGTCAAGGAAACCAAAGCACTGTTGGTGGCACCATTGTTGGAGACGAAGGTTCACTTCCTCAATGCATTCTTCCCTCCAATGGCCTGCAATGGGGAGCACTAAGGAGAAGACTGCCTGATCCTCTGACCCCTTGAGCCCAGCCCCCAGAGCCCTGTAGTCACTCATGACCCAGTCCAGATTACTCCTGGCCGTGTCATATGTTCCCACATGGATGAGGAGCATGGGGTAGTAGTCAGAGGGCCAGACAAGCCTGGGGATCCTCTCGGCAACATCTCAGATGCGGGCCCCAGGGAGGCAGCAGACCTCACAGACTAGGGGATCCGGACAGCAGATGGGACCCTCAGTGCCCTGCAGGATGGAGTCCCCCACCACCACCACTTTGCACCTCCTCTGGTGGGTGGCAGCACAGTGCTTATCTTCCTCCTTCTCTTCCAGTGTCACCACGCATGGGAAGTTATGGTTGTGATAATGGTCATGTGTCTCTGAGGGAATGAACTCACCACTACCTGGTGCCTAAAAAATTAATTTCTGGCTGCCTACCAACACTTAAAGTGCAATGCAGGACACACAGGTACACAGACAGACTGTTCCATTCATGAAGCAATGCAATGTAGACAGTATATGGAGTACTACCAGGTCTGAAGTAATTATGAATGTGTCTCCGTCAGTTTTAAAGCAGACAAACTCAACACAAAGTGGAGTTACTCCTAGCCCATGAAAGATTACTTACCGTGACCCAATAATTAGGTTTTAAAACAGATTAAGTATGGAAGCAAGTTGCTTTAAGTTACTCAGGTATAATACTTGCATGTAAACAAGCTCTAAAAGTAGGGTAAAGAAAGGGCAACCTTCAGTGAGTGTGGGCATTAGGAATGCATTTAGGAGGATGAGTTCTCCCAGCTTCAAGCCCATTTACCCTGAGTTGGGGAAGTGTTGACTTCTCTATCAGGCAGCTCCATGTCAGAGCTGTTAGACATGTTCTTTGGGGTGAACTCTTTAAGTCTCAGTTCCCTGAGAGTGGGAAGAAGCCACTCTCTCCTCCTAGTGCTTAGAGGCACTGTATATAAACTCTGTGGGCATATCTACTGATGCAATTAATGCACCTGAATTTTCTGCATAGAAAGTTCAGGCTAATTAAAGCACGCCCTCCACCCCCAGTAGAGATTGGGACCCACCCTGATTTCCACATGGCTACGAAGCAGCTGCCCAGCAGCTCTCCCTGCCCCATGGAGATGGGATGGGTCCCAATCTCTACATGACTAGGAGACAGTTCCTGCGAGGCCAAGACAGCTCTGTCAGCCCCTTGTGCCCCCCTCCCTTGTTTAGGCTAACTGGGAGCAATTTGCTCCCAGTCAGTGTCTACACGTGTAGCATGGTGCATTAGTTAATACACCGTTTTCTAGTTCCTGTATTAACAAGTACTAGAAAACAGTGCATTAGACTAATATAATGTGCAGTAATTGCTATGCATGTGTAGACAGTGATTTACTGCACATTAGATTAATACTCAGTAAAGCATCTTGTGTAGATGCATCCTGTCTCATCCTGCTGTGACCAAGGAGATGCATTCATAGCTTCAACTTCTGGAGATAGTGAAGAATGGGCCGATGTAAGGGTATTCGCCCCTCAAGATTCAGCCAAATTACAACCCTGTATCTGGTATCTGCACTGCAAATATATAATGGCTGTGATTTGGCATTAGCTCACTTACTCTCTCCTCATAAACCAGACACACCCAGTTATGAATGAACATTTACTGATTTTTTTCTGTCCATTTCTTTTTATATTGAGATGCCCAGAACAAAATGTCTGACTAGTATTCAAGAGAGGTCTCATCAAATGATTTTTTAAAGGTATTTTACCTCACCATTCTGTGATTTGATGCCATTATATAAAACCAGCAAGAATCACATTCATCCAGGTAGTCATTGGTAGATCTATGCACAATGAGAAATTTCCCTTTTTACAAAGAACACAAAGATACAACCATGACTCATACCATACATACCCTTATAGGAGCTCACCGGCATCTTCCCCATCATGTCAAGATCCCTACAGGGCAAGGGGTAGAGAGTGCACAGACTACATGGGCACGGAGGGCACATCATACAGGCATTAGCTCCTTGGACCCTATGCAGAGCAAGCAGTTACTTATAATATTTTATTGTTATTTCTACTGCTTAGAGATACAGTGCAGCTCAGGACTCCATTGTGCTAGAAACAGAATAAAGGCAGGAAAGTATGGTTTCAACACAAAAAAGATTAAAATCTAATTTAAGACAAATAACTTGAGTGAGGAAAAGATAGGAGTGAAGGCAGAGAGATGAGAAGACTATAAGTATGTCAGGAAGGCAGTTATATAGGCTAATTGTGTGCCTCGACCTATGGTTCTAAAACCTTCTAAACGATTTTGTTTTTGTTTTGTGCCCATCTATTAGCCAGACTAGTCATCAAGAGCTGTTTCATTGTTTTGTTTTATACACCATAACTATATTACCTGTTTTACAGCATTGCACTGCATATCACTTTTTTCTATAACTCACCTCCAGGCATTGAAAATCCCTGTGAAGGGTATTCCCAAATTTGACCCAGTCAGGGTTAAATCTTCAAAGGGTTAAATCTTCAAATCTCTCTGATTTGGCTCCATTGTTTCTCTTGTTGACTAAGCTGCAAAGAACCTACACACTCCCTAATGTGACACAGACCAGGTAGAAAGATTGGAACAAGAGAAGAACTGGAAAAAAATATCACCCCACCAACTCAGTTGGTTGCTGAAGGCAGACACTGAGGTAGCGTGAAGCTGAAGTGCTCTGCCAGGTAAATGCTTTCTGTAGGTATGCATTAGAGTCTGTTGTCTTTTCTCTGAAAACAACTGAGATTTATTTTCTGAACTGGAGACAGTGTTTCAGAAATGGAAACAATTCTTCACTTGGGTGCCTCATAATCATACAATAGGCTGCAAATGAGCTTTGGCAGCAATTTGACATCAAGTTGATAAAATTTTTCTGTGGTAGTAACTTTACAGAATGCTAGAATTGCTCATTCTGAGATATAATTTGGTTTTATGACCTATGCATGACACCATGAAAGGGTTTGGGGTTTTTTTCTTTTATCAAAAAATCTTTAGGATGCTTTGGTTTCTGCATGTTAGAGCATAGGCTGGTTTAAGTTGTAATTTTTACTGCAAGTTTTATCTAAATGTTTACAGAATCTGCTCAAAAAGGAGCCATAAAACATCGAATAGGAAAACCAGTAACTTCAGTAACTCATTGGGCTTAGATTTATCAATGTGCATATATAGCAACAAAGAAGTGTTTCCCTTTCTCTTATACTGAAGGTATTTGAATATTGTGTCAGACAATATCGTTTGAGAAGTCAAAATTGTTAAAGGAATGGTTCATTTAAATGAAGGAGTTGTTTGATTCATTCTCAAGTTACTGGAGATAAATAGCATAGCAATTTTGTGAGTCACTTTACTGACATCAACATGTCACTTGTGTGTTGTATGGTCACTTTACATTAAAATACCTGTCAATCAGCTGATGATACCCATGTCTTTATCTCAGAGGGCACTTGTACACATGACACCATTACCATGTGCATGTGATGAAAGTGCCACTTCACGTGCAAGAGCTTTGAGGATTTTAAATGAATTTGGATCACTGCAAACTAAACTACACTCTGATGTAGTTCAGTTTGCAATGTTGCAAATTGCAATGATGCAGCTGTCAGCTTGCTCCCAGCCACAGGAGAGGCAGGCAGGCTTCTCACAAAAAAAGGATCAGGCCCCTTGCCCCTTCTTCCTTCAATAGGCTCCTGGGGCTGACACGACACTGGGGGCCTCCTGGAAATGGGCTGGCTTGTCCCTGGAGCAGTCTGAGAAGGCTACAGAAGGGTGGTTGGATTTGTTGATGGCTGGAGAAGGTGGTGAAGACAGTGCAAAGGGCACTGGAAGCCTGGGCAGGCTGCTAGCTGGCTGGGTGCTGCCCCTGTTCAGAGGCATCCAATCCAATGCTTCCCCAAGCCTGCCTGGGCTTCCAGTGCCCTGTGCACCATCCCTGCCACCTTCTCCTCCCACCAGTACATCCAACTGCCCTACTGCTGCCTCTCCGTGCTGCCCCAGGGGCAAGCTGGGTATGCTGGCGGCCAGAGACGGCTTCAGGGACAGCGCATGGGGTGCTGGAAGCCCGGACAGGCTCAGGAAATTGTTGGATAGGGCGCCTGCAAGCCGGGGCATGACCTGGCCAGCTAGCAGGCCACCCGGGCTTCCAGCACCCCATGCACTGTCTCTGCCACCAGCAAACCCAGCTGCCCTCCTGCCACCTCCCTGCACTGTCCCCAGGGCAAACCAGCCTGTTCCAGGCAAACTGGATGTCCTACCATCTGCAGGCACCTGCTGAAGGCAGCAGCTATGAGGGGCCTTTTTTTTTCAGCAGAGCCTGCCTGCCTTTTCTGCAGCTGGGGAGTAAGCTGCCAGCAGGCTGAGCAGCTCCTGAGCTGCAGGGAACCCCAGCCCTTGCCTCCACAGTAGAGACGCCCCTGGGGCCACCTGGGCAGGCTGTTAGTGGGTGCTGCCCCAGCTCAGGGTCAGGAAAGAGTTGGATCAGGCCAGGTGCGGCCTCCAAGCTGAGGCAGCACCTGGCCCACTAGTAGCCCACCCAGGTGCCCCCCAGGGGGCACTGTCACTGCAGAGGACCGGGACCATCTGCAGCTCAGGCGCTGCTCAGCCCACTGGCAACCTGCCCCCTTATCGCGGGCTGGCTTCAGCTCCGACAAAAAAAAAAAAAAAAAGGATAGGGCCCTCACCATAACGTGACAAAATTGAAATGGTTTAGTTTCAATGTAGGGGGCATAAAATAAAATCCTAAGGACTAAACCCCCCTCACATGTACAAGCACCCATCTGTGTCTCACTTGGCCCAGCTAGTATAATTAACCCAGTGTCTGAAGAGAGAGAGCTAACTGGGGAAACCTCAGTCCTGAGAAGACTGAGGTAAAAAAGATCATTCCGCTATAACAGCACGTCCCTCACATCCTTGTTTCTGTCCATGCTTCCTGTGAGTCCTAGTGAACTCCTTGTCCCATGGATGATGGTGTGTGTATGCTCCCACCAGTGGCTGGACAGGGCAATGGCAGTAAAACTCTTCCCAATGCTGAAAAATCACCAGCTGAGTCCCCACTTCCCAATTGCCCACCCATATCTGGTTGGCATTGCGGCAAATGGGAACAGATGTAGAGTTACCACTGCTCAGAGCATTAGGAAGCTATGATGTTTTTGTATGACCGTGTGCTTGTAGGTTAATCTTAAATATTATTAACAGGTCCCTGTGGGAAGGAAATGGAGAAGAAGATGCTGAAGACTGGGTATTTTATCTTCTTGCTCAGTTGTTTTGCCTTGCAGCTGGATGCTAACCCTGGGCTCAAAGTAAGAATCACGCAGAAAGGGCTGGACTATGGTAAGCCTGAGATTTCCAATAGTTCTTCTGCAACACATTTTATTTTTAGAGTACATTGAATCCTTAATATTTGCACAATGTAAGAACAAAGTCCTGAAAGACTGAGTGTTACTAGCAAGCTAAAGAGAGACAAGAAGATTTAAAAGATGGATTTTTAAGAGAGGAAATGGCTTGGAGGTAGACAAGAGCTGCTCCAATAGCAGAAAAACTTGAAAATCTAAGGAGTCACATAGCAAAGAAGAAAGAATTGCTGCTGAAGCAGAGTGAGCGGGTAGAAGAGTACTTGGATACAGAGCCAGGAAGGGAGAATGTTGTGAGGCTGGATATCAGAACAGTTTTGTGTCCAGGAATGGTATCGATAGGAAGCCAGGAAAATTCATGCCATACTATGGGTTCTATGGGCAGTATGATTGGGGTAACATGGTCCTGGTTCATATAGCAAGGGAGTAATCTGGTCAATGTGTTGGACCTCTGAAGTTAGGTAACAGGCCATAAATAGAGATGCTTCATTAGTCAAAATGAAATATGATCAGTGTCTGCAGATCACCTACACCTGAACCAGTGAGAGAAGAGGGGTTTACATATGTGACCTGCCTACTGCTCCCAGCCAGACTCAGGCAGCAGCTGCCTCAGGGCATCAGTTTCAGTAGTTCTCATCCCCTAGACTCAGTTATTCCTGCTTCACCACTCTATCATCTGCCAGAGCTAAGAGCAAGCCAAAGATCTGGCCTTCAGAACCACCTCGAGACATCATTTAGGAATCAGCATCCTAGCATCAGAGAGCAAGCAAAAACCATATCAGAGAGCAAGCAGAAACCAAGTGAAAGAAATTGTTCCTCCAACCCCCTACCACAGTTTCCACTGTGTCCCAACCTGCTGCTCAAATAGCTTTTTCTGTATCCTGTAGATCCTCTTCCACTAGACTGATCTGATCCAGCAGGAGCTCCTAGTGTCTTCAACCCTCCCAGAAGCAAACATGGCCATAGCACAACACCCTGTTTAGATTCTGAGTCCTCTCCCTTCCATACTAACAAGTATAGCTTAATCTACTCTCAGCTTCTCCCACCAAATTCCCAGCCACAGTAGCCTGATCTCTCACATCTGCCAATAAGGAACATCCCCTTTTTATCTCTCTCTGTGTCCATCCTTTCACCATTCAAGCTCTTAAGGCACCACCATTTTCATCTCTCTCCTACATCTTTTCTCTCCTCATTTTCAATACCCATTCTTATTACTTCTGTAACAAATCCCTTTCCTCTTCCCCTGTTTCCCTTTGTCTCACTAATTCTTCCTCTCCCAAACCTGATACCCATTAAGTATAATTTTGTTTAATAATGAAAAAACAGCAACATCCAGTGCATGATATCGAACCCTCTCACCTTGTATCTTTCTCCTTTCTCTCCCTTTCCCTTTCTTGATAATTCTGTCTTTTATCTAAGCCTTAGATCTTAAAGCATTTGGGCCAGTAAAGAAATAATAATATGTCTCTGGATAGCACCTAGCACAATTTTGTGTGTTTAATGCATTAATAATCCCTTGATTCAACAGAAGCCGGGTCAAAGTAAGGATAAATCATCAGCAATGTTCTGTGCATGATGACAGGTAGACAATGGACAAGAAAAGTAAAAGCTCAGCTTTATGAGTCTAAGATTACAGTGTTACTATAACAAGTATTTTGCTAAAGGTGAAGGTCAGGTCCACTTACTTCCCAGGCTGAGCATTAGTTGCAAAGGCTTCTTTCGGGAACTAAAGGCCTTCAGTCACCCAAACCAGAAGTAATCTTTCCCTCCCAAATCAGAAATAATCATTCCATAAGAGAGACAGTGCCTTAGAGCTCCCTTACACCTGCTGTAGTAGGTGGATATCAGGATTAAGCCCAGTATTTGCCAGTATGAGTCAGGAAGAGCTGTTCTAGAGCTTCCAAGAACTGTCAGGTGCTGTCAGGATCAATGGGTAGACAATTGGACAGGCACTAACACAGACATTAGTAATGCCCCACCGATCCAGATAGCATCTGATAGCTGAGGAGGGTGCAGCCTTTTATGTCTTCTTCACCACAGCAGAATTTTGAAGGTTAGGGTATTTAATCCTGGCATCCCTCTAGTCTAGCTCGGGGCTGGATTATGACATCCTGGGGCCCTAAACTAGGGCTTCCCAACCTTTCTATGCTTTGGCCTGGCAAACTGCAGACCAGAAGTGGCTGTGGCCCGGCAAACTACGGACCATTGTGTGGAGCCCTGTGGCCAGAATTTCTGGCTGGAACAAAAGTAAAGATGCTTCCATCCCCGGGCAGTGAGGTGGGCCTAAACCTCAACTATGACTGCCGCAAGCCCTGCGGGATGAGTCGCAGCCTCTCTGCCCGGCTCTGCGGGGCCACCATTTGCCGGTCCATAGTCACTTCTAGTCCAGCAGCCAACCCTCTGTGGCCCAGGGGTTGGTTTAGAGGTCCCTCATAATATAAGGCCCTAAGATGAAGATTACTTAGCTTATGCCTAAATCCAGCATGGCTCTAGCTGCCAGAAGACCCCAGCAAGGCACCCTCATGCTCACAGGAACAACCACTGGGGTGCCTTTATCATGAGATAACCCTGAATTTTGACAGCCTTCTCACCACAAAAAATGTAAATTTAAAAAAATGGTGCTCATGTTGGGCAGTAATTAATCCTGAATATTTGTTCATGTTTATGTGGATCAAGAGGAAATTTGGGGGAAATCCCCTTCAGCAGCCTTGGAAGCAAAGTTAAAATGGAAGTAGTCTCAGAAATATGAGTGGGGGGAAAAAGGAAGCTGAGCTGTCTCCAGGATCTAAGAGCCAAGACAAACACAGAAAAAGAAGACAAACAAACTGGGGACTTGAAGATGTGATGTTTAGCGACCACTCAATGCATGTGATGCACAAGACTGAAACTATCATAACATTGGAACATGCCAGAGTGGGGATGCCATAGGTGTGTTAGAGGGGTAAGGGGAAGGGACAGAGGATTGCAGCATTTTATACCATATAAGCCATGGTCAAATCTAAGTCCACTCCTAGAAATAAAAAAGGGGCAGTTAGACAAGCTGGAATAAAACCAGACATGACTTCTAGTGTAGAAGACAAATCAGTTCCAGCAAATTTGGTGTGAAAGATTTTCCTAAGACAGTTCCTCCAAAAGAGGCTGCAGTGCCAAAAGGGTGGTACATTGTGAATTAGCTGGAGTCAATTCTAGAATACAAGACACAAATCCTTGGTCTTAGATACGTGCTTGCAATATAAAGGTACAAGATAAAAATTATGGAAATGACAGCGAGAGATAATCTGTCTATCTTGATGGCATGTTTGGAGATGGGGGCACCTGCATTTGATCTACATTGTATAAGGTTTCCAGCCATAGAGAAGGCAATTGAATGGTTCTTTGTCCCTTTACAGGCTGGAAAGTTGGGCTGGAGAACCTAAAACAAGAAATAAAAAATGAAACCTTCCAAAGCTGGAGTGACCGTGAGAACTTTGGACTTGTTAAATTTGACTACACTGTTTCAGGGTAAGTAAACAATCAAAAATATTCTAAAGCAATGGTATAAAATACTTTTAGTGATAAGGGAGTTCTTAATGGATTCATAAAGCCCTTACTTGCTGTTACTTTATTAGACAATTGGATTTTCAAAAGCACTCATAGATGATCTAACTCTGCTCCCATTGCCCAGTCATTGTCAAGTATTTTGTATATAACCTGCCAGAGATGAATTTAAGGAAAGGGTTTGAAGGAAAACTACATAGCAACTACTCAGATCTTTAGAAGATCTTCCCCTACCCAAAGGGCAACAAAAAAGTAAGCATGTCTGTGTTTAAGGGAAAAATTGATATTATGAGCAATAAAGGTCAACAGAGGGCCTTAATAGAAAACACAGAGGGGGCAGTAGTAGGTTAGAAGAGAGGGGAAGATGTAGCTGGAGTGATGAAGTGGGAAAATTATTTTTGCAACAGTTTTTTAAATATAGGGAGGGCAAAATATCATTATGACATGACAAGGCTTTACATCCATTTTGCACAGGTATAAATCACTGTAGGAGGGACTATGCAGTATAGAATCAGGCTCCTTAAGTTCCTATCATTCCCCCAAATGCAGCAAGCTGCTAAAAGAATATACATTTCTGTAGCATTCCTTACCCTCATCAAACTAAAAACTTCTAGTTAGGCTCTAATCCAGTGGTTCTCAACCATCTTAGACTGAAGGCACCCTTATATAACTTATCTGAATGTAGCAGCACCTTGTATCAACAAATAAAACCAGAAAAATAATTGAGCAATTCTGTTGCAAAGGACTCAAAAAGATCACAATGGGTGAGAATGCTTTGACACAATTAATTCCTATTTAAAATCTTTGGGTTTATGTTATTAACCATGTGTAGATGTTTGCACCTCTACTGATGCTAATATTGCCATGACACCCTGGTTGAGATCACTGTTCTAATCCGACAGAAAAGCATAAATTTGCCATCTGTCAAGACTGTTTCACTTTAATAAGTCAGTCCCTTGGCCAGTCATATGGGATTACTTCCTCACCTACAATAGTTCCTGACTTTCCATTATACAGTTCTCCAAAGCAAAAAACTTAAAGGAAATGGCTGGTGCCTTTTTCCACTATTTCCCAGTATCACTGGCAGGCTGAACCATAAACATCCCAGTTCCACATTTTACGGACAATGAGCAAAGACTGCCCCATCCCTCAAGTGAGTGAGGTTTACCTGTAATGATGGGCTTCTTTCTTTAGACTGGGAAAATTCACTTAAAGGAATGAGGCTTGTCTGTCTTCATAGAAAAGATACACACCCCAAGAATACAAAACATTGCAGAGACCTCTATTCCTAATGCAGAGTGTTCTACCTCAAATTTATTTTACTTAGAGGTTGAGTATAACATTGAGTCTAAAGGACCCTTTCTCTCAAGGGGTACCATTTACCTTCAGGTCAAGGGTACCTTTCCCCATGCAACTGGATAGTTTTACCGTGAAATGCTACAACATTTTGTCTTGTAACTCAAAACCATTTTGTACTATTTAATTGTACCAGAAGACTTCAGCATCTCATCTCTCCTCTGAGTGCAAACTAATATCCCTCTTTCATTTATAGGCTCAGAATTAACACTGTTGAATTCCCAGATGCCTCTGTATCCCTCATACCTGGAACTGGGATTAAGCTGGCAATTGAACATGCTTCTGCAACCTTCCATGCAAACTGGAGTATAAAAACCTGGCTAGTGTAAGTATTGTACTATGTGAGCCCCAGTATACTCTTCTGGAAAGTGAATTAAAATTAAAAAATATAAAATGTAGTTACTAATCTAATTTCTAAGGAGGTCAAATATCCTTTACCAAATAATACAAACCTGTTGATATAGCTCTCTTGAGTGTGAGACATTCATTTCAGGTTAACAGTATAGTATTAATTAAGATGCTACTACGAAGGACACCTCTGGAAAGTATCAGATCAAAATTCTGTTATTTGGCTGGTATTTTCCAGACTGTTAATTAAGTGAATATTTAGGAAGCTGTTTAATACAGTGGATCACACTCTACAAAAAGGGGTTGATAATTACATGTGTGTTATATTGCATTTACTGTGTAACTGGAAAGGTTGACTCCATAACTAATTTAACTTTGGGTGTTCTTAGGACAAGTGTGGAGTGCTGCACCTAGGGCGCAAAAATATCCAGCACAGCTACTGGTTGGGAAGTGACTCTCTCAGCAGCACAGAAGCGGAAAGGGATCTCAGAGTCATAGTAGACTCCAAGATGAACATGAGTCGTCAGTGTGACAAAATCATCAGCAAAGCTAATCACACTTTGTCATGCATTAGCAGATGCATGACAAATAGATCCAAGGAGGTGATACTTCCCCTCTATGCAGCATTGGTCAGACTGCAGCTGAAGCACTGTGTCCAGTTTTGGGCGCCGTACTTCAAGAAGGATGTTGATTGACTCAGGAGGGTCCAGAGGACCCATGAGGTCCTCATATGGTTAGGGGCTTACACGACAAGCCCTGTGAGGAGAGACTGAGGGACCTGGACCTCTTCAACCTCTGCAAGAGAAGGCTAAGAGGTGATCTTGTAGCCATCTACAAATTCATTAGGGGATGCAGCAAGGGATCAGAGATGCTCTCTTCACCAGGGTACATCTTGGGGTAACAAGGAACAATGGTCACAAACTGACAGAGAGCAGAGTTAGTCTAGATATCAGGAAAAACTTCTTCATGAAAAGGGTGGCCAAAATTTGGAATGGGCTTCCAAGGAAGGTGGTGCTCTCCCCTACCTTGGGGGTCTTTAAAAGAAGGCTGGATAGGCATCTGGCTGGGGTCATTTGACCCCAGAACTCTTTCCTGCCTAGGCAGGGGGTCGGACTCAATGATCTGTTGAGGTCCCTTCTGACCCTAGCATCTATGGTTCTAATCTATCTATCTTCCCAGAAAACTGTATTAACAGAATATTAAGGTTACGAAGTTATGTATTCAAAAGGTAAGAAATACCAGAATTCAAGTTGCTTCTGAAATCTTACTTTGGGCTCCTTTTATGATATTGTCTTTAATGGCTCAATTGCATATTATTTTTCAATATTAATTCTGCACCTAACATTGTAATATGTTTTTATGGAATGCTCTAAGTATTAAAAATGGGTTATGGGGGTTTTTTTGGTTTCTTATGTGGGGCCATATTTACTGTAACTTGGGATATGAGACTATATATCCACAACACAGATCTCTATCACTTCAGCTAATGGAGTAACTGGTAGCAGTATTAGGCTATTATCCTCTAGATGGACTAGGCAGTAGAAGGGAGTGGAACACAACTATTGCCAGCAGGGTTTCACCTCTGTTCCTTGGCAGCAAAAGATCACAGATACTCAGTTCCCCTGAGCTTAGCTCCAAGTCCTGGAGAGGAGTGTACTCTAGGGGTTAACACTGCTGCCCCTTTGCCTCCCGCTTGTCTCTTTTCTCCATGCTCCACTCCAACCCAGTTTTGAAAAAGAGTATATTGATTCCAGTGGGGTAGGTGATGACTGCTTTCTCTCCATGGGTAGTTAGAAGGGCTTTTTCTGAGGCAGTGCTACAGCTCTTGTGGCAGCATTATCACAGATCTGAGAGTTGTAGGAGAATTGAACTGGCATTAATCAGAAAATGGTTATTCAAGTCACAATGAAATTATGATGATTTGGAACCTGGCTAACTGCGGCATGATTCAAGAACTCATGCTCTCTGAAGGTGAGAGGAAAAGACTCGTTCTTCATCCACCCAATGTAAGGATCAAAGCCTCTTAGACTTGACTCATCATTACTTTCTTAAATGTTTCCTAAGAGTAGATTTTTCAGCTGAGCTTATTGTTTTGTCTGTGTAGCAGAAACCATGGAGGAGCTACTGTCTCTCTTTCAGGAGTGTTTATCACAGTGATCTTCCAAGTGTCAAGGGATAACAAAGGCCGCCTATCCATGCTGTTTCACAACTGCTGGTTAAGCATTCATGATGTTAAAGTCAAGCTGAGTGGAGGAGCCAGGTAGGTGCGAGAGATTTCTTATTATCACTCTGGTGAAAAGTAGACAAGTCAGGCTATATCTAAATACTAAACCTCCTCATCACTGCACTGCACTGCTCTGGGTACATGGTTTCCTAAATCTGAAGCAGTGCAGCCACCTCCATGCAGAATTTGGGGCAGTTTGATAAGTCACAGGGCCAATTAGCCTGCCTTCAGCTAATAGCACTCCCAAAGGACCACATAGCTCAGCTACATTGCTCTGAATTTAGGAAGGAACTCTGTCCAGAGTAGCTCAGCATGCTCAAGAGCAACACCCCTGGGGACAAAAAATTGTCTGCATAGACATTACCTCAGAGGCTCATGTCCCGCTTGTCAAAGCTAGAACAAGCATTTCCTATGGCTACTTTAATATCAGCATTCACTGAGTTCCAAATAGCCTCTAATTCTCAACCTAAATATGAGCCAGTCCTCATCTAGCCAAAAAGAATTGATTGTATAGTCTTTCTCTGTGTCATCATAGCCATTTCTTACTTCTGCCTCATTTATACTTTACCTACCTCTCTTCCTGAGGGCTCCTTCCTCAAGGCCACCTGCTCTTTCTCTACACATGCCAAACCCAAGATTGAGGTAGTGAAGCCACACTGGAAGTACCTGTTTCACTGGTCTTGAGATTTCTGCCTCTGGTGTGCTTAAAAGCATGATCTCAGGGTTGGAGTATGCAGAGTGGGAGATGGACAGGATATGCATGAGAGTTTGGCCTCTAGGAGCACTGGGGTAACAGTGTAGACATATCCCATGTCTATATGGCATTGTAGTGACCTTCATTAGTGAGGTGGACTCTTCACAGTTTTTAGGGTTCATGCAGGTCTATTATACTTTGGATTACCAGTCCAATGCAAGTTACTGACTAGCCTGAAAGCCAGATATTACATTTTCTATAAACCTAGCTTATACATATGTATATTAACTAAAGAAAATATTCAAATAGCTAAAGCAATGGTAAGGTCCTCCTTTGTTCTTTCCTCCTCTTCAGCTGGGTCTTTAACCTCTTTGCTGGTTATCTGAAGAAGCCCATTCAAGCCTACTTGGATAAAAATGTAAGTCTTTAAAGACAGTTTCAGGAGCGAGGTTTGAAGAACATCTGAAACTACCTCATCTCTGAGGCCATGGCCTAGATCAGGGATTGGCAACCTATGTTCTGTGGGCTGTAGAGCTTATGGGCTTTGGCAGCATTGTGCTGTCAGGGGGCTTCACTCACACCACAGCTGGGTGGTAGGGAAAAGTGTCAATAGCAGCTGCCAGGTTGCAAGTGCCGGCTCACCTCAGATCTGATCTGGGTTGTTTTGGCCCACTAGAAAATGTTGCTGACCCCTGACTTAGAACTTAGCTAAGGCATACCTTGAAAAAAGACAACTTCAGTCTGACTCTCAGCTTAGTAGCACTTACTACCCTGGCACCACCATCTACTCTTCTTTTCCCCTTGAAATAATATGAAAGTTCATATGCTCAGTTATTTTTCACTTGGAGGGTCTTCCCATTGAGCAACTGATTTTATAACAAATCTGTGATCATATGCATAGAAGTCTTCATGTTTGTCTTTTAGAATTTATAGAAAAAGGCTGAAGGAGAGAACGTAGGCCCTTTCATTCCAGAAAAAAAGTTCTCTATTACTTGTGCTACCAGGAAAATCACTTTTTGTAGTGACTGGTCAATGATATTATTAAATCTTTATTCTATACTCTTTCTGGGGCCAGTGTTAGAAAGTGGGATCAGAACAAATGCCTGAACAGGCTTGATTCAGCTAGAGAGAAGGGTTAAAATACGCACTACCCATTACATTACAGTGTCCTCTGTGTACTTCCATATAGTTGTGCCCGAACATCAAACACAAAATCCAAAGGATGGATGCAGAGCTCAGAACTCTTAAGGGTGAGTCTCTGAAAATGAAATGTCTTTGTATTTCCATTTCCATGCCCTTCGGCGTGTAGACTTTTGCATTAAATGTTGCCTGAGAACTGTATTTGACTGATTCTGTTCAAAAGCTACTACATTAAAGACCCGTGTCCCCAGCAGATAGAGTGAGGGGTAAAGAAATGCTCAAATGATTCTAGAACTAAGCCCCACTCTCCATTCCCTTCCATTCCCTCAGACACTCACAGACACAAATTATTATGTTCATGTTTGGCTGGTGTCAACAGCAGGACATCTGTAATCTGTCAACCCACTGCAGCTGTGCTCTGTGGTGATAAGGGACACTAAGGCCACACCTAGCTGCTAAATTTACTGTTCAAGGCAGTAGTGCCCTCAAACATTCCACCCTGCTCTACACGGGCTGCCTCCTAACCCAGAAGCAGTGTAAACACTACACTTCAAGTGAGCCAGTTATAACAACTAAGTGACAACCTCCCCTACTTACTAGTTAGCCTTCATATGGCACTTCAGATATGGTCAAACTGCTCCTAGTTTAGGAAGTAGCCTAAACTCTATCCACCGTGGCAAACATGAGGTCAGCATTTCCAGAAGAACCTTGACTGCTCAGCATTTCAGCATCTGTAGTTATGCCTATTCTATCATATCCTAGCACCTGCCTTGGAACCTGCACAGCACTGTTCCCCAGGTCCTGCTCTTCTGTGTGCATCTGCCAAGTTCATACCAGCTGTCCTGGCTCACATTTACTGGGACTCTTGGCCTTGCTCTCCAGGTTTGTGACCTGGCCATGATCATTAGGGCAGATTGCCCACATGGCAGTTTGTAATGTGTTGCCTGAGCTGCTAGCTAGACTGCAGCTAAATAAAAAAGAGATCCTGACTACTGTCTTCATCAAAAATCCCACAGCATTTCTTGCAAGAGTAACCATGATAATCATGGTATTTGATTTGCATTCAAACACATACAGTTATATTCTGTCTACCTAAACTTCCTCCTGCAGTTCAAATAGGATATGATATTTTCTATTCTCTTTCTAAATTGGTTAATGTGACTGATCCCTGTCAAACCAGCTGTCCCTTACATATGAGAGGTAGCAGCATTTTCAATCAATCCAGGATGTAATCCCCATTACATCATTTAGAGGCAATAATTTCCATTAAATTTAACTAGGAGGCAGGGCAGGGTGGCACTTTAGAGGTTAACTGGTTAAATTTAACTGTTTTCTTCTAGATTGTTTAATTAAAAGGAAGCTCTGGAAAAAATGTTTATTATTTCATTTTTCTCCTGTGGGGAGGCAGAGCAAGCAATTCCTCTGTAGTTACATCCTTTCCCTTCAGGGGTGCCAGCCGGTCAGTGTCCCCTGTGGATGCATCTGCTGCTTAGCCCTTGCAGGTAGAGGATCTTCTGGAACTCCCTCTGGAGGACTGCTTTTTCAGCATCATTTTTTGCTTTGGTGACCATCTAGCAGCAAAACATTCTTTGCTGAAGCACCATGGGCCATGTGTAGACTAAACAAGGGGCATGTGTGCACGACACTTTAAAGTGAGTTAAATGCTTTTGCACCGCTTTAATTGTGTTGGTGTTTGCACGGGTTAGTGGTGTATTGTGCAGTAATTCCAGCTGCTGTAGCGAATTTGATGGAGTAACATGCCTTGCATGACTTGGGGTGCAGCAACCTACAACTCCTCTAAGGAGTTTTTAGTTTGCTGCCCTACAGCCGCAGAGCAAAGCACTGGGCTCCATGCACCTCAGGGGCTCTGCAGGAAGCCCATGCAGGCAGCCTGGGAAGGCAAACTCCGCCCAAGAACAAAAAAATATTTTTTTTTTCTTGGAGCCTGCCTGTCTGCCTGAACTGCACAGAGGCCCAGTGCTTTCCTCTGCGTCTGTGGTGCCCCCTGGGACTGCCCAAGCCAGGTGCCTGAGGGTGGGTGCCGCCTGGGCAGGGGACCCGCCACTGCTGTGCAGGGAAGCATCTGCACCTCCCCCCTCCCCCGCAGCCCAGGAACCGCTCCACCCACTGGTAGCTCGTCCTCCCCTCCCCACCACCGAAGAGGCAGGTAAGTGGGTGTATGCATGACATGGGGGTTTAAAGGGCCCTAAATTGAAGCAGTGTTTTTAAAAACCCACTGCTTCAGTTTAGGGCCCCTGTTTCATCTACACATGCCCATGAAGGAAGCAAGGACTCACCTTGAATGGGTGAGCACATAACCCAACTGTTATGGAAGCTAGCAACAGTTTGCAATGCATTAGCTAGCAGTGTCATAAAAATTGCTGGTTCCTATGGTTACTACCTCAGAGCTTGTATCTCCCCCTATCAGCTTATTCAATCAGGGATTTGAAAACTCGTGGCAATCAGAAGAGGTCCCATATGACTGGGAAAAGGCAAATTTAGTGTTCCTCTTTGAGAAAGGGAAAACGGAGGATCCAGGGAACTATAAACTGGTTAGACTTACCTCAGTCCCTTGAAAAATCATAGACCAGGTCTTCAAGGAATCCATTTCTCAGCATGTGGAGGAGAAGAAGGTGATTAGGAACAGTCAGCATGGATTCACCATGGGCAAATCATGCCTGACCAACTTGATTGCTTTCTATGATGAGATGACTGGCTCTGTGGATGCAGGAAGAATAGTGGATGTAATATACCTTGACTTTAGCAAGACTTTGATATGGTCTCCCACAATATTCTCGCAGGCAAGCTAAGGAAGTACAAGTTGATGAATGGACTGCAAGTTGAATAGAAAATTGGCTGGATCATCAGGCTCAAAGGGTAACACTCAATGGCTCAATGCCTAGTTAGCAACTGGTATCAAGTGAAATGCCCTAGGGGTTGGTCCTGGGGCAGGTTTTGTTCAATATCTCCATCAACAACCTGGAAAATGGGATGGAGTATACCCTCACCAAGTTTGCAGATGACACCAATCTGAGGGAGTAATAGATATGCTGGAGGGTAGGGCTAGAATTCAGAGAGACCTAGACAAATTGGAGGATTGGGCCAAGAGAAATCTCGTGAGGTTCAACAAAGACAAGTATAAAGTCCTGCACTTAGGACAGAACAATCCCATGCACCAGGACAGGCTGGGGGATGACTGGCAAAGCAGAAGCTTTGCAGAAAAGGACCTGGGGTTACAGTGGACAATAAGCTGAACAGGAGCCAACAGTGTGCCCTTGTTGTGAAAAAAGCTAACACTATCCTGAGCTGCATTAAGAGCATTGCTAGTTGAGGGAAGTGATTCTTCCTCTGTATTCAGCACTGGTGAGGCCACATCTGGAGCACTGTGTCCAGTTTTGCCTCCCCCACAATACAGAAAGGATGTGGACAAATTGGAGAGAGTCCAGCAGAGGGCAATGAAAATGGTTCGGGAGCTGGGGCACATAATTTCTGAGGAGAGGCTGAGGGAACTGGGCTTATTTAGTCTGGAAAAGAGAAGACTGAGGAGGGGGTTTAATAGCAGCCTTCAACTACCTGAAGGGTGTTTTTAAAGAGGATGGAGCTAGACTGTTCTCAGTGGTGGCAGATGACAGAACAAGGAGCAATGGACTCAAGTTGCAGCCAGGAAAGTTTAGGTTAGATATTAGGAAACACTTTCTCATTAGAAGGATAGTAAAGCACTGGAACAGGTTACCCAGAGGGGCTGTGGAATCTCCATCCTTGGAAGTTTTTAAGAGCTGGCTAGAGAAAGCCTTGGCTGGGATGATCTAGTTGGGGATGCTCCTGCTTTGAGCAGGGGATTGGACTAGATGATCTCCTGAGGTCCCTTTCAACCATAATTTTCTATGATTCGGGAGTTGCTTCTCTCTAGATACCTGCCTCGTAATATTTTTTATAGCTGAGATAGAGCTTGTTTTCTTCTTTCACACTTGGGACCTCTGTCTTTAGCATACTTGGGAGTAGCCAGAGCAGCTTCAGTGCCACATTTCCAAGTTTAGCACTTGTAAGCGGGAGTGTATGACCAAGGTGTATTATGGTGAGTGGGTGCCCTCAGTAATGGCAGTGATGTGGTGTAGAGACATACCTTCTCTTCACAATGTAGAGAAAAAGCTTCTCCTGTTGTGCTGTGGGACAAGGTGCAACTTATGGAGTGAACAACATCCCAGTGGCTTCAGCACTGATTGACAGCTTCAGAAATGTTACTGCCTCCTTCCAGGTGTACAGTATCAGTAGCAGCAATAATTCTGTATAGCACTTATGGCTGTAAACCTGCATCAGAGCCCTACTGTGCTAGTCCTTGCACAAACACATCACAAAGAGAGACCTGAAGTTTTGAAACCCATTTAACTGATTTTAAACCAAATATGGTTTCCCACAGAAACAGGATTTGAGGGAAAGTCTTTTGCTATATGCAAGCTGGGACAAGAGAAGAGCTGGGCCTGAATTACTGTTGGTCAGAACCATAGGGTGAGAAGGGACATTAAAGGTCATCTAGCCCAAATTCATTTGTTTCCTTACCCCGCTTCACTGAATCACTGTTTCCTTTGTGCTTTTCTTCTCTAAGACCTGCCTCCATGTGGAACTAAACATAACTGGCTATGATAAAACTTTTGTAATAATCACTGTGTTGTTTTGTTCATAACTTTACAGTTCTAAGTCAGATCGATGCCTTTGCCCAAATAGACTACTCGCTCATTAACTCTCCAGCAATCTCCAAATCATCCATTAACCTGGATTTGAAGGTAATTAGCCTCCATTGCTAATTCTCTGGATCTGTGTTCTTTCAAGACCCCTCTGACTCTCTTCAGTATCAGTAATGATGCTTATTGTATATATTGACTTCCAAAAAAAGACCTTCATTTTTGTTTTATTTTGCTTCTTAAATCTCAGGGAATATATATATTCCCCAAAGGGAAAGAAAAACTCAAGCTTCTAGAAGAAAACCTGAGTAAGCAAACAGTTTTGTGGCATACCCTGAGAGTTAAGAAGCAAAACAAAACAAAACAAAAATAAAGGTCTTTTTTTTGGAAGCCAATATATATATTTCTTTGCAGGGTACAGTCTATCCAGCTGGAAATCACACAGATCCCCCCTTTGTACCAAACCCATTCACTCTTCCAGACAAGAATAACTCCATGCTCTACCTGGGAGTCTCTGAGTATTTCTTCAAATCTGCTTCATTGGCTTATTACAATGCAGGGGCCTTTAACATTACCATCACAAAAAAGGTTAGTGGAACTTGCTGGTGTGAGAATTACAAATGTTTCAGATATGCAAGTAATCAGTGAAAGGGATTTTATTGATCATTTCACAGAGGAATTTGTACATGTCCATGGCGTGCTTCTACCAGATTTAGGTATCATTCACAATATTAATTCTACATTTTAGTATTTCTCGGGCCAACTTCTTAGTTGCTTCTTGATACCATGCAGAGTACAGAAGTGTTAGATGTCACAGAACTAATCGTGTTCTTTCACCTTAATGCAGAGGGTGGAAGAAAGAGCAATGGAGAGCTGTTCTCTGAACAGATTCCTTTGCTCTGACTAAGTAAGGGAGAGAGGGAAAGGTTTGGGAAGAAAATGTGTGGTTTTAGCCCACAGCTGCATTCGGGTATACTAAGCTCTACAAGAAACACCGTTGTTCGCCTTAGAACTGGAATAAATCATTAGAGAGCAATAAAGACAGAACAGGAAGCAGGCATGACAAGATACTTTGGTCACCAGTGGGAGAAAACCAGGGAAGGCTAAAAGTGAGCACACTGTTGCTTTGCTGGCAGTGCTAGAAAGGTCTTCTGAGTGGGCTTTGCGGAGTGAAATGGTGCTAAAAGGGGCTTTTGTAACCAGCTGTGCCTGTTGACTGAGCAAACCGTGTCACAAAGCAGAGCAGCAAAGGGTCAACAGGGTGTTCATTTCTGTCTTTAGTGGGTTCGGTATTTTCCAGCTATAGGAGCCTGCAAGACAAACTAGAAACAGAATTTAAAATTTGATTTACAGCTATACTTCTCTTTGTTTCTCCAGCATGTTTTTTAATATATATTAATGACAATTGTGTCTAACCTTTTTGGCTAGGGACAGAAGTTACACGTAAACTGGTTTAAGTGATTAGAAACTGGTTTAAACCTGTAACAGAACAGATGTTCAGTGCATATAAACCAGTTTGAAGATGGCTGAAACCAGTTTGAGATAAACCTGGTTGAATGTAGTATCAGATTTAACTGATTTAGCTCAAACCAGTTTATGCAATGTCTGTCCCAGACCCCTTGCTAATTAAAGTTAAATCAGACTCCCCCAGCATCTCAGCATACTATCTGGGATGAGTGGGGCTCTCTGCTCCACAGCAGGGCTGGCCTCTCCCCTCTGCTCCCTGACTGGAGCTTGGCAGAGACTGCAGGCATCTGCCTGGCTCCCCCCTTCCCTCCCTGTCCCATCTACCTTACACAGACATCTCTCAGCATTAGCTAGCATACTACTTGCTGGCTATGGTCCATGCTGTAGCAGACAGGACAAAGGCAGAATCAGCAGGTAGCTGGTAATATCCCTCTGTTGTTTTCTTAATGGAGTGATAAACACTGAGTTAGGGGTAATAAACACCACATTATCAATTCCCTGCTTGGCTGGTCATGGAGGGGTGGGGGTCTCCCTAGTTAGAGCAACCTGCCAGGGCCTGGCCACACGCCCCTCAGCTCAGCAGTGTGGAAGGGAAGGGAGGGCTGCTCTACGGCTTCTAGCTTGAGCCACTGCAGGCATGTGCCTGCATGTCTGGGATGTCTGTACAGTTACGAACTGGTTTAACCTAGCCAGGTTAGATTACCCTGCAAAGATTGAATCAATTCAGGGTCAGGCTTTTTGAATGTCTGTCCCTAACCTTTGTCATGATGTATTGTAACTTCCTTTAAGACTACTCCCAGAAGGAAAGGGCATTAAATCAAGAATGGGGATTAAATGAATGATAATAAACAGAGTGCATTTCTTTAAAGAGAATCTGAACATGAATATGAAGCAAGATGATCTGATATCTTCCATTTGCTTGCAGTTTTCCACTTATTTTATGCCAACTGAAGTAACACCTAACAATACCATTCCTGAGGTAGGTATCTTTTTTTTTCTTGTAAACCTTTAAGGGACCGCAATATCTAATCCCCCTGTGGACATCATCAGAGTGCTAGCAAACTCCTAAGGTTTGTAGCAGGCAGTGAGATCATCAGGGTTGGGGGCTGGTGAGAAGGGATGATTTGTGGCTGCTGTTGGGAAAGTCCAGATTAAGACTCCTGTGTTAGGGTGTGTTCATATACAGCCCTCTGCCAATGCCTCTCCTGCAGCCCGCATTCTCCGCACTTTATTCAGATTCCCTTCAGCTTGCTGTTAAGTTACTTGATTAGAAATCCATTTGCAGTGTAACAGAAGCATTTTTACTGAACCTGCAGAACAATATTGGACATTGTTAACATCCTATTTTTAAACTGAGTATGGTGTCATCCAGATGCAGAAAGAGGTAGTTATTTGGGTTAGTCTGAAGTCAGGGAGAAGGCAGGGGAGAGTGGCAATTTATAGACAATCATAATTCAGAGAGGCATGAGCTTCATAAGCAACAGCTTACTTTACTTTGACTAAACAGATGCAGACTATCTCATTACTTTGGAAGCGGTAATACAGGACAGGAGGTAGCAATAATATACTCTGTTAGTCTTGCTGTGCATTCATGTTAGTAAAAAAATAAGAAAATCAGTTCCCGTTTTCCTTGCAGGTGTAGGGGGCCTGAGATTTTTTTTGGCTACAGTGTTCAAATCCTGTGGAAGGAAGATGATGACATTTTTAGAACAACTGAGTCTCATCTCTTGCATGCATGAATTTTTGCCCTTGTAGAAGGGGAATGGTCAAGGCGAAACAATATACTGTGCTACAGTATTTGATGCATTAATTAATCAAGACTCCATACATGTAACATCTATGCTAATATTGAGTGAGATTCCATAACCCCCTCCAACCTCTCTGTGCTGTCACTGATGAAGTAAGATGTTGCTTATGACAACTTTTACTGCTCTGAATTAAGGTGCCACTCTGCCCTGCCTTCATCCTTTTTTCAGATGGTAATAGTTAGTTTAATATAAAGAATGCTTTCAACGTACAAACTCACAGATACAACTTGTTCTTTGAATTCTTGCAATGGACTATATGTTCTTCTGTACCTATTGCAGTCTTTTCCATCTCCCCACTTTTCTCCATTGTCCTTCATTCCACTTCAGTTCCTCTCAATTACTTTTCAGACAGCACTCCAAACCCCTTATCCTTTCTAATTCCTGTATTATTTTCTAGTCATAGAGACCAGGATTGACCATTTTTTATGGAAGTAGTTTGTTTTCAATCCTCTTGGAAATAATGTCATCTTTAATACAGTTAGCTTCCCTTCTATAGGCAAAAATGAAAGGGAGAATGGTAGCCATCTTGATTTAGTTCAGTCTTTCACTTGTGGCATTTTGTATGCAATAGAAAATAGCAACAATAAAAGAGAAATCATAAATTTTGAGGCAGGGAGTTCAAGGTATATATGAAGGAATGACAATTAAAGGAAAATTAAAGATTTTGACTCTGTGTGTGCATATGTGTAGAGCTTTATATTTTCTTTATATGAGTGATTACTTTTCCTCACTTTCCCAGGATATTTAGCATCATGTTAACTCCCTTTACCTAGAATTTAAGCTTCAGGAGCAACCTTGGAGTTGTTACTTCAACTTAATATCCATGTAAGACCTAATAAACCACCTCAAAAAAATACCAAGGACTTGACAAAATGTTTTAATTATTTGGCTCAGTGTAGTTATAATAGATCTTTTTTACTACACAATGCTAATCTTTTTTATAAAACTACCTACATACCACCTGATTATAGTCTATCTACCATGTACCATATTTTGAAGACAGTTCCTCCATATAAACTCAATGGTCGTGAGCCATGTTTGTCTGAAGCCAGGCAAATGGAAGGGCAGGGTTGCACCTTAGAGACTAACAGGTTCAGAAAGACATGCATTTTTATAGGGGGCGTACAGATGTTAAGGCATACAGACATTTACACAAAAGTGCCATAGTTAGAGCAGCTGTTGGAAGTTGGAGTGGGGGCAGTTGCCTGTTGGGTGGAGGGGACTCAACCTGCCTGCACCGGCCCTGGGCAGCAGACAGGTGCTCCAACAGCCTCTCAGGGGAGATCACCCCTCTCCCCAGCCCCACCACCCCCAGCTGGCAACTATCAACAGCAGCTGGGGGTTTGGAGGGGGGGAATGCAGTCCCCCCCGCCAACTACCCCTGCTGGGGTCTTGGGGGGAGCTGGGTTGGGCCCACATGGTGGGGAGGGCTCCCCTCCCTGATCCCACAGGGGGCTGCCTTACCTGGAGCACAGATGGCTGCTGCACCTGGAGCTGGTGGTGGGGAGGGAGAACAAAGCCCACTTTACCTCATGGGCCCAGCCCAGCACCCCCTGAAACCCCAGCTGGGGTAGCCAATCTAGGCCCATGCAGTGGGGAGGCTCCATTTCCCCACCCCTGCCCCAGCCTCTTGACAGCACACAGAGGCCGGCTTGACTTTTTGCCACAGCCAGAGCTTGGGGGGTGGTGCAGAGCTCCCCCTGCTGTGCAGGTATATCCCAGCTACCCCCAAAAACCTAGCAGGGGTAAATAGGGGGGTACGTGGCGTAGGTAGGCTTCCTTCCCCACCCCCAGCCCAGTTGAACAGGGAGAAAACAGAGCTTTTTCCATCTCTCCCACAAGCACCAACCTAGCCCCGCAAAGGTCCCTAGGATTTGAGCAGAATCGCCCAAAATTAAACCTCAATGTGAACCTGTATACAGGTTTGCTAAGGCACTCTGCCCTAGAGTGCCTTCATCTGATACGGCACCAGACACAGATTCATTTCTCACATGATCCGCCATTTTTAAATGCTCTGCAGCCTGAGCACTTGTTATGTTATGGCTACAGAGCACTTTTGGCTGCCTCATCCTGTGAAAAGTATAACTTCTGTACACATCCATTGGTAACAACCTGTTTGGTGAGATGCTACAAATGGACTGCCTATAAATTTGTTTGAAGTCTTCTTTGCTTCTAGGTTCTACAGCTTGTTCAGAATTATACAATGTCACACCCACTGATGTTGATGCTACAATCTACTGCAGCACCTATCGTCAGCTTGCAAACAGGCAGTTTGACTACAGAGGTCACTGGCAACTTAGAGATGTTTTCTGTCCTGCCAAACTCAAGCCTCCAGTTCATCTTTGCAGGGAATCTAGTAAGTACTCTGGACCAAAAAACTCTCTTCTGTGCAGGGGATAAAAGATGTTTGTTCTTCCATACTGCTATCTGCCAAATTTTCTGAGAATCTGAGAGGTCAGTGTGACCTAGAACAGAGGCATCAGTGCTGCTCACAGATACCCACAGAAGACTTCCACTACGTTGGATAGGAATTGGATTTTCATGTCTGTGAAATAATTTGATGTACAGGTTATGAGGAATTTACCTTTAGAATCCCTTTTTTGAGGGGGTGAGGGTGTCTTTCCAAGAGAAAGAAAGAAAGAATATATTACAGCCTCCATTTTCTGAAGCTCATTTTTTCTTAACCTGCTTGTTATAAAATAGTGGGCCATATCTCCAGACACCTTTTCATTACACTAAAAGTGCCTTTGGCCACTGGAAACTTCAGTTATCCAAGCCTTTTAAAATGTTGCCAATGACCCTCTGATAATGGAGGCAGTATTTTATATTACCAGGCACAAACCCCATATTGGATAGAAAGTGAACAGCTCACAAAAATTACTTCAGTATCTACATAAATAAAAATGTTGGGTGCTTTCATTTTGGATTATAAAAGGAAATCATATTTGTGCCTGTATCCTAAATAGGATTGCATGCTGTATATATGATAACAAGATTTTCTCTTCTTCAGACAGTGAATACCAGTGCCAACATGACTATATCTAAACAGAAGTTGATTATCTCATTACTTCTCAAGAGGTAACATAGGATAGTTTTGTCCAAGTCCATAAAATAAAGGTCAGGAAGTAACATTATTAAAAAGGACTCTATTGTGCATTCACGTCAATATGAGAAGATAATCAGTTACCTTCCTTCTTTCAGAGGTTGAGGCCCCGCGATTAGTTTATTTGCTACATTACCCAGATCCTGTGGATGGAATTGATGATGTTTTTAGAACAACTGAGGGTGCTGTCTTCCATGATTCTTTGTCCTTCTATAGGGGAAAAGTTCAAGGAGAAACAACATACTATCCACACTATTAATTGTATTAATTAATCTAAACACTATACATATTATATCTTGGCTAATACTAGGGAGTGAGATTCCATAACCCTTCCAACCTCTGTGTGGTAATTGTTACCATATAGTTGGAGCATCTACACGTTCATTAATGTGCCATAATTATGGTGTATTAAGTTAGTACCTATAACAACAGGTACTAACTTAATGCACTGTGATCGGCACTACTGCACGGTAGCACTAGCGCACTTTTTATGTGATGCTAAGGTGCAGTAGATTAACTTTACTGCACATTAGCTCATTGGCATGGCTTTCATCGTGACATGCTAATGTATAGAATTAGTCTACTGTGCTTCAAGCATCTCGTGTAGACACACCCACGGAGTCATAAAATTCTCCCCTGTGCAAGCATTCATTGAGCCACTACACACAACTCTGCATGGATCCTTGCAAGCTTTACTGTGAGAGGCAGGGACAAATGGGACAATGTGGCACATGCCACTACAATCAATATGGTTAGTGCAACAAGCTACAGACAGCTGTAGGGAGACTTCTGTAATCTGAAGCAGCACTCAAGGCTACTTAGGTTACATGTGAGTCTATTTCAGATTGTGCAATAACCCAGGAATGAGATGGTGCCCAGATTGTTTAAAGTAATTTCTTTATCATGTCTTGTGATTTCTCTGCTTGTTTTTCTGGAAGTGATCAATGTTTCTAGGGCAGTGGTTCACTGGGACCTAACAACCCGGTTGATTCTAGAGATCAGGGCAGCTTCTACAGAACCTACATTTTCATGCATTAAAGACAATAGCCAGATTTATTAAGCTTTGATGTTTCAAGAAGTAGGTAAAGACCAGAACCACAGGGGACCTGCTCAGCACATTCTACAGTTGGCTATGAAACAACTGGAGTTTTTGGTAGAACTTTATGATTTGGGGCTGACAAGAAGATTATTCAAGAGGAATGTTACAGGAAATTAAGGTTATAAATGTCCAGAGCATCCTGGGAAGGTACTCATAAGTAGTCTTGTGGAGTAGTAAATGCCTTACAACAAGAGTATCATGGGAAGTCATGAGTGCTTCAGAATACTGATTTAGGAATTGGGAGTTAGTGGCCTAAGAACCTGTGAGAGAGCTAATGTAGGAAGGAGACTTCAGTGACTCGGGCTCGTTGGGAAGTTATCCAAACAGAACTGAACTTCTGAAGAACTGGCAGTTCAGCCATCACATGGAGTAACAGCCCCAGAGTGAAATTTTTCTTCCCAGCTCACATAGCCAGGATGCCTGAATAGCTATTAAATTTCCAGGGATTCTGAAATTGACTTTTTATTGTATGATTTTGAATGCAGAGTTGTTGAGAGGCAGGGGGTGTCTGGTGAAGCTGAGTGTATGAATCGATGGGATTTATACAATGTAATTTGGAGGGAGAACTGCTCTCATGTCCCCAGAAAAACGTTTCCCAGGCCACACGCCTGTGCACATTCCAAGCTGTGCCCCAGGAAAACCATTTCTGTTCTTTATAGTGAGGGGTAGCATGGACTTCATTGGGCCCATGCCAATAAAAGCATCTCTTTAAGGGAATATCACATAGCCTGTAGCTCTGAAAATAACTGTACACAGGTGAAACAATGTACCTTTATCCTTTATAATGATTCCCTTTATTGTATTCTGTTCAGATTTCACTTCTCCCTGACACGTTCTGGTGTTGACTTTTCTGAGGTAAGCTGATGACTTCAGTACAAAGGAAACTTAAGTTCTTAAAACCAAGAATTTCAGAAAGAGGCAGGTTCAGATGAGAGGAAACTGAAATCTCCCCATTCATTTCTGTCTCAGCCTACTTATTTCTGGGATGGCTTTATCTCTCCTTCTGGTTTCACACAGACAATATTTTATCTGTTGTATAATCATATAGGCTTTACTCTTCCCTTTCTTTCAGGTAATATTGTAATACTCAAAATAGAGAGAAATGTTGTCTAAGCTAACTGCCTCTGAAGGATTACATGATGTTGTACAATCACTACCAGATAATATAAAACTGGATTGTAGCAGAGGGGTAACAGAAGCATCACATTTGCTGAGCAAACCGCAGAGGAAAATACAGGTAGTGGGGTAGGCTGAGGTACAGCACAAAGTCTCATTGTCAAGCTAAAGAGAGGAAGGGGAAAGAATAATAGTCACAAAAAGCATGAAACAGATTTAGTAGCAAAGAAAGGAAAATCCTTACCTCCCCCTTCTGGACCCCTTCCCCCATGGTTAGTTCTGAGGACATTCATTTAGCACTGGGAAGCTGAACTGTGTGGAATTATGACTTGTCCAAAATCCCATAGGGTAGTTACAAGCAAATATTTTAAGTAAATAAAAATGCTGATACTAAATTAATTGTGTGAAACTGTGTGACAAAGATTAATATCCCATTGCTTTGTTTGGCTTCAACCAAGTACCTCAAAATGCAAAGATCATTTTAACTTGTGGTTTTGTCTTACCAAATTTGATCTAAAAACTCCAACCAAGATTAGAGCCCAAGGCAATTTCATAGATTGTAAGAAGTGATCATCAGATCCATGTTCTCCCCCATGATAGATCTCACTTTTGGAGAAGTTCCTGTCTCGTGTATTATGGAATGGAGCAATCCCAGCAATCAATGGTAAGGATTGTTCCTTTACTGGCCATGATCTCCAGTATTCCCAGGGACTACATGGCAATAAAATTTAGTATGTGATTTTAGTTTTTCACTGTTATGTTACTGTCTCACATCACCTCCCTCTTGTGCTCTTTGTGCTCCCTGTGGTGGTGTCCAGGCAGTGTAGAGAAGAGGTAACAGTCTGGGTGAGATGCATAATAGGGGAAAGGTGAAAAGAGACAAAGGGTGAGGGGAATAGGAGTGGATGGAGTGGGTAGCGGAGGAAGAGAACAGGATCAGAAAGAAGGGAGGTTGTAGGAACAATGGCATAGAGAGAGGGGGTGGCAGAAGCCAGGGGACCTGGTGGAGTGGAACAAAGCAGGTGAGGAGAAGGAGCTGGAACACTGGCTAAAAATAGTAAAGCAGGAATCAGGGAGCTGAAGGGGTGATATGAGTTATGGAACTGAGTTAGAGGGAATATCAGGCAGAAGGGTACAAGAGTGAGGACTGGTGGGTGGGTAGATAAAAAGAAGGAGACAATGGGAGAGATGAATCCAGAAAGCACAGTAAAGGGAGACTGGATGGATGGTTAGGAGAAGAAAGGGACAAAAAGAGGCTTATTGGGGGGGAGGGGCAGAAGGATCTATGACCACTAAGCACACTTCCCTCCAGCACCTGGAAATGATCCCCTTCACTGTCTGTGCTTAGTCTCCCTCTAGTGCCTAGTCCATATAGAGTAGTGGTCACCAACCAGTTGATTTCCATCAACTAGTCAATTAGGGAGTCCCTGACAGCCAATCTCATTCGGGGGGGGGCGCTAGCTGGTGGGGCTAGCCCCCTCAGACTAAGATCAACTGTCAGGGGCTCCTTGATCAGAAGCAGCAGGATGCACATGGGGAGCGGCTGAGATGCAGCCCAGGAGCAGCAGGACACACGTGGCCCCCTGCCACCTGGGGCCAGGCTGGGTGAGTGGGACAATCCCCCTTTGCACCCCCTGCCACTGGGTGAGTGGAGCCCTGGCCGGGCAAGGCCAGGGCAGAGTCGAAGCCCAGGCAGCTTGTACAGGCACACGGGGGGTCCTGCCACTGCATGCACCTCGATGGGGGCCTGGGGGGCATGTGTCCCACTGATCTGTGCATGGGGCAAGGTGACTGCCACTGCACACTGGGCTTTGCACCCTGAGCTGCAGCAGGGCTCAGGGCACAAAGTGCAGTGGCAGCTGCCTCGCCCACACACAGATTGTGGGGACACATGCCCCCTGAACCTCTGCTGGGCTGCGTGCAGCAGTGGAAGCCCTCCCATGCACCTGGATGAGCCACCCAGGCTCTGACCCTACCCCAGGCAGGACCTACTCTCCCCTGCCCCACTCCCTTCCTCACCATGGGGGCCTCAATCTGCCCCCCCCACCCGACTGACCTGCTGAGCAGGGGGGCAATGTGGGCAGCAGGGGGGAGGGCGGGAGGTGGTGCGGGGTGCAGAAGATCCTGGATTGCCCTTTGCTTCAAAAAGTGATCTTCACCTTAAAAAGGTGGGAGACCACTGATATAGAGGCTGACACGCCCAAACTGTTCCCATTTACAGCTCAGGCTGTAGAGGTTTGTGCTTTGGAGCCTGAGTGAGGGTCAAGGTATTTCCACATGATAGAATTTCTGGGGGGTTTTCCATCTGCATTTTAAATTATTTAGCTTTTCCCAAATGTAACTTTATTACTTTAAATGAAGGTTGCAGTTATAAGGGCAAGCATTCACAAGTTAGGAAATGCCAGACTTAATGTTGCTTGTCCAATATGAGGTCACCCCCCTTGTGTGTATGCATTATGACACCAGTCGTTCCATGATCACATACCTCTTCTTCTAGAGAGCTCTTTCTCTGTTTGTAAATCTGGGTAATATCTATTTCCCAGGGGACAGGTGGTGATTGATTAGTGTTTGTAAAGCATATTAACTGTTTAAAAAAAAAAGATGCTGTACAAGAGCCAGTACTTATTGTTCACATATAAATGCATGTATTCTTATCTTTTATAAGATAAACTGAGGAAAGGATTCCCTCTTCCTAATCAGGCCCAAACTAAGTTCATTCAACCAGTTCTTGAATTTAATCAGGTGAGAATCTGAATCTTTATTTAATAGATTTCATAGACATTTGGGCTGGAAGGGACCCCGGAGGATCATCAAGTCCACCCCCCTGACCCATGGGCAGGAAGTCAGCAGGGAACATAGGATCCCAGCAAGATAAGCATCCAAATGTGTCTTGAAGGCGTTCACAGTGGGTGCTTGAGCCACCTCCGGTGGCAGTCTATTTCAAACCTTGGGGGCTCAGACGGTAAAGAAGTTCTTCTTCATGTCCAGCCTGAATCAGTCGCAGCAGAGTCTGTGACCATTCGATCTTGTCATCACTTGGGGCAGTCTGGTGAACAGACGTTCCCCCAGATCCTGATGAGCACCCCGATAAACTTACAGGTGTCCACCAGATCACCCCTGACCCTAGCTGCACATGGGGGAATGGCAAGTAACCATATTTTGGTTCTCAGTACATGCAGAGAAGGGACAAATGCATGAGTGTGTTTTCACAGCAACATTCCCTAGCACTATCTGATGTAGTACAGGCATATGCCCTGTGGCCAACTGCATTCAGTCAGCTGAATTCAGCTCTGAGATAAGTGTAACCTCCTAAAAGTCTATGGAGAAATACTCTTCTATGCCACAATATGTCTGAATTTTTCACACTAACTTAAATGCTGGTGTCAGTTAAATTTATGAGATGCCAGTGAATTAGTACAGTATTATATTTGTAACCAAGATCAGTATTTGGTCTTCAACATGTAATATAGATAGCTAGACTATGACATAACCAGTGCCCTCAGCTTGGACACAAATGCCTGGATTACGTTAAAATCAGATGTTGATCTATTAAATTAATTGATTTCAAAATGCGTACCCACTATTAAAGTTTTATGCTAGAGTGCAAGTGTGATGATGCTGAGATATATCTTGTTTTTTTATGTATATCTTTTGGAGATAGGCAGTGTTAAATAAATTTAGTTCTATTTATTTTTTAATTTTCCAAAATAATTAATTAAACAATCAGTTCCAATTTCCTCTCAACATTTAATCATATTATACTTTCATATACTTTGGGCGGGTAGCACATGATACAACTCGCAAAGAGAAATAGTTCATAAGTCTCTGTGTGCCAGTCCACTGATATAACTTAGAGCAGCCCAAAGGCAACTCTAACATTTGCTGAATGCCAACTGCCCCAAAGCACTCAGTACCACAACTAGGACACAGGGAAACTTCATCTCTTTCACTTTCCACACAGCTGTAACCTGTGTAGTGGCGGTCAGTAGTGGGGAGTAGTATAGGAGCCATGATCCCAGCTCCACACTTTTAAAGGATTTGCTGATCCTTCCACATCCAGCTACATCAGCTTTAGATCTAGCATGCAAGTCAGTTTATATATACCACTGTCCCTGTATGTACAGGCACCTGTAGACACCACAGGTTTTAATCCTCATTAAATTAAATAGGTTTAAAAAATTTAAATTTTTTATTTTGGAGCATCGCATCTGTGTTTATACGTACTAGGTTTTCACATGAATTCAGCCTTGGAACATTGAACCTGTGTTTACATGCACTAAGTTTTCAAACAAATTAAGCTGGCTCCCTGGCTGGCACCACAGAAGAGCAAGATGGTCCAGCACTGCCACCCCTAACCTGCCCCCTCTCGCACCATGCAGCTGTGGAAGCAGGAAACCACACAAGGAAAAAAAAGGGGGGAAGCAATTCAAAAGTGAAAGCAATTCCAAGGGGTGAACTACAAAAAAGTTGTAGCACCATCTGATGGACAAAGAGGCTCATTACATGCCTTTGAGTGCCTTCATGTTCGCACGCAATGAATCCATGGACACGACACTTTAATTTCCAGTGAACCAAACTGAACTACAGCTGAGGAGTTTTAGTGTAGTGCAAAAGAAAGTCTTTTAAAGTGTTGGAAAATCCCACTCGTGCAAACAGACACATAGTTGCAGTGCATGAAAGTGCAAAAATTGTGGCATATACATGAGCCCTAAGAGGCTGCTCTACTAAGTCTTAATAATAGAATAGAGTCTATCATACAAACCCTGGGCCAAAACTTGACACTCCCCCCCTCCTCCCCGCACTGCAACAACTTTAAGCAGCTTTGATGGCATTAAAGGAACATAAAATGGCTACCTCAGTCCTTGGGAGGAATACACCAGTATAGGGTGGCACAGGCCCAATGTACCCAGCTATGTACCACCCTCTACTTCCTCAAAGGCTGAGCCAGGGGCAGGAACAGCCAGAGCGCTCTGTACTCTGACTGTTCTGTGCTGTACAGCAGCTATAAGCCAGTTGAGGTAAGGCTACCCTAAGATTCACAGCAGCCACTAAGGCTGTCCTAACTTATACCAGAGCCTATCCCAAACACAAAGCAGCCCAGAATCTGAGAGGCACAAATAAGGCATGCCAGAATCATCTTGGTGTCTTTTTCACTTCAGCTGAACCTCTTGATTGGCCTAGCACAAAATCAAGCCTCTCGTTGCCAACACTGCGGCAAAACTAAGAAAAGTCAGTGCCTATAATCTGCAATAGAAGGTCATTCTGGTGAATGTTTTTCTCTCCTCAGGGTTATTTGCTGATTTCCACTGATTTTCACTACACTCTCTAAGGAAGGAGAGATCATTTGATCAGGATGTTCAAGGTGAACAGCAACCATTCAAATGCTGACCTGTGTCCCTGTACTTTTAAACCTTCAAGCCAAGGACTGTAGATGAGTGAAGTCTTCCTCATGCTGCTCTGATTCAGGAAGAAAGTAGGAAGAATGTATGGTGCAAAATTACAAATGCAGTACTTGAGTCACCCTTCCGAATGGTCTATATCCAGTATAAACTTTTTCTGCTTCTTACCTGATGTATCTGTTGTTTTTTAATATGAGGAGGGGTTTTAACAGTCCTGTCATGCTTACTATGAAGATAGTCCTTTCAGGATTCTTCTTAGGGGCATTTCAGAACATGGGGCATCCTAATATGCTTTCAGTTTTAGGACCAGATTCTTTAGTCATGTTGAAACTAGAGGTGATATGGTAAGAGTGCTTGTAGAAGGAAGGGAGTTAGGATATTGGAATCTGTTTATCTGTTACTGGATACCAAGAGAGAGAACAGAATTATGAAAATTAGAGATAGTTAGGCCTCCCAGTACCTCCTGCCAATGCAGGGTTATCTTTTACATTACATTTTCTAGGGCTGCATCACTCTAACTTGAAATAAGCCAAGCAATGCATCTTCTCTCACTTCACTTTGAAAACTACCACACAGAAGACTTCCAGGAAGCTGTTTCTGAATTTCACACAGTTTTTCCCCTTTTTAGTATCCTCCCATTATACTAGTTATACTTACCATTTTTTAGCAGTTTTTTTCTCCCTCTGTAGTATTTATGGTCTAAATATGTGAAGACTCTTTCACTAGCCATTGTGTCACCAAGCTAGGCCTGTTTAACTTTTGAAATGTTCCCTCATAGACAAGTCCCTCCAAACACCTGATCAATTTTGTTGCTTTTCTCTGAACAATTAAATTTGTCAATAACTTGTTGCTGTGTTGCCTAGACCTGCCCTCAGTGCTCCAGGGCAGTCAAACCTAAGCTGTATCTGCTACCTACTCATGAAGTGATGTGAAGCCTCTTTTTTTCTAGTCCCTGGAAACTGTAGGGAGAGGGGGACAATGGTCAGATGAACCTTGTTATGCCTTGCATATATACTCTTCCCCTTAGCATCCGGGGATCAGATAGTGGGCTAGATGGAATTATGGTCTGACCCAACATGGCATATTGTATGTTGTCTCCTAGCCTGTTTTAATACAAGGCCACATGTCTCTGCTGCCCAGTATCTCACATCCCCTTTGTCAATGTCACTATTCTGCATGGGTGAGAACCTGGAAGATCCATGTTTTAAATCAGGGATGCCAAACCTCTAGGCCATGAGCAAAATGCAGCCCATGGAGCCTTGGAATCTGGTGCGTGGGGCTCCCCACATGTTGGTAAATTTGGTGGTGGGGGAGCAGTGGCAATCAATACTGCCACCCTCCCCCTGCCAAATTCCAAAAATCAAACCTCAAGTGCTGTGCAACAGGGTGGGTCAAGCCAAGCCTCTTCCCCCCATGGGGCCAGGTTGGAGCCTCATCAAGCCTCTTTTCCACCTCCTCTTTGTGGGGCCAGATTGGGGCCAGGTTGCCCCCACTCCCTGCTCTGCACAGCTGGATGGAATCCCACTGCAACTGCCCCCGGTGCCAGATCAGGGCCACTGTCTGGATCTAGCCCACAGACAAACCTGGCACTTCCCATCCAGCCCATCACCCAAAAAAGCTGAGCACCACTGTTTTAAGTATTTATGTCCCAAATTTATTTGCTTGCATTCTTTCTGGTTCAGCTACATACTGTGATAGGCTCCATTGCCATAATATCTCCACACGTCCCAGATCACAGCAGTCTGCACGTCCCAGATCACAGCAGTCCTGTGAGTGCCATTATTCCTATTTTGCATTTGGGGAACAGAGGCTCAGAGATAATAAGGAAATCTGTGTCAAAGCCAGGAATAGAATGCCAAGCTCATGGTCTATAGCCAAGTGATTTAATCACGAGTGACTTGCGCAATGAATTTCATTGTGTTATTATCTGTCCATGTTTCTAATCTCTCTACCTCTCCTTGAATTATTTCTGTCTGTTCACTTGTGTTTGCAACTCTCCCCAATTTACTATTACCTAAGAACTTTATTAGCCCAAATGCTTTTTTAGGCCCTGCTCCAGATTCTAAAAGCCATTGTCTTTCCATTAATCTCAATGTGCTGCAGATCAGGTCTTTAGCTAATTATTTAAATAGGATTCAATAGAAAATCCATCCCCAAGGAATCCTACCAGTTATTGTTGTCTTCTCCCAAGGTTGGTATGTAGACCTTTTTTACTGTCCTTTTCTGGCAGGTATCAGCAATCTTTCAACTTCTAAGAAGGTCCACATCCATATAGCTTTAAATTCATTTTGAGAATAAAATTAAAGGCAGGCAAATAGAGAAAGCATGTTCCTTTCCTATTAAGTAAGCAGAGGAAGAGAGCAAAATAAGAGTAACAATTAGTGGGATGAAAGTACCATTTTTAAACTGAAGTTCTCTTTCCTTAAGGAGATGGAAGAAAGTTCTACGTTCTTCCACAATCTCCTTAGGGCTTCTGCAGTTCCATTAGAGCCATAAGACATATCTTAATTCTTCCATAAATACTTCAAGAATTTCTTAAAAGAAGGGTCTGAGTAAATGGGAAACGTGGTCATCCTTTTCTCTTTACCTCCCTATGGCATTTTCATCCTGAGAAATGCCACTTTAATTTGTGGAAATAAATGGCAAAGTAAGAGTAGATTAGGGCACACAAGTGAACAGTGTAGTGCATTAGTTGTGTTTCTTCTGAGCAGGCATAGTAGAACATGGAGTGCTTCAGATCCAGGGTTGTCAAGGATGGAAGCAGCCTCCTGAGGTATTACCTTAAAAGGTAACTAACAATTATGATACATGCCTTTTAATTTAAGTTAGAGTGCAATTAAACTGCCTGGAACTTAATCACTCTCTTGTAGGCAGGGATGTCCCAAAGAGAATGCTGATTACCATTTTGAGTCAAACTTGTCTTCCTCCTCTATATTCTAGATGCTTAAGAGCTATTGTGTTCAGAACTGTTGCCCTCAGGATAATGTAGAATTCAAGGTAGTTATTAATGTCTAATCCAGATCCTGCTAGCCATTTTCCTTACTGCTGCAGCCTCTCTTAGAAGAAATAAATGTTTAAAAGAGAAAGTGGGGGGAGGCAGAGGCCTACATTATTGTTTATCTTTGGGGCACTAGCACCCAAAGATCTGTGCTAGATACCGTACAAATACAAACTGGCATGTCGTGGCTCCAGGTGCACAGACAGTTGCATGTGCTGCATTCACAGGACTATTAAGTGCCTAAGTATTTTGTAAAATCAGGGTCTAATTAAGTAAAACAGAATACAAAATCCAGCATTAGTCTGGGATAAAAGATTTAGACTATGGATTCTGAGGAGGGTATAAAACCCATTGGACTTGGTCTTGGCTCTGGTCAGGCTGGGTGGAAGAGAAAGGAATATAGTGGTGTTTATCATAACACTGTATTTGTGGTCCTTTGGCCAGTTTGTAATTTAGCTGATAATTTTCATATTCACCCCAAACTAAAGCGGAGCCAGTTCTACTCCAGAACTTTCTCCTGCCTGTGGCTATTGTCTTTGGAAGGAAGTTGTTTTCTCCAGGAGACCAACCAAGCTGACTTTTTATATACAAAGATTAAAAACCAGCCTTTACAGTACTGCTGCAGAAAGAAACCCAAAGATAAGGTGCAGTGAGCTTGGGATGCCTTGCTAGAGTCTAAAAAGTATAGCAATTGTGGGCATATTAAAAAATAAAAAGACCCATGTCCTGTAATGAGCTTTTTATGAGCTGAACCTCACTGAAGTCAGTGGGGTTCTGTAGGTCTGCACCTCAGTGCAAGATCAGGGATTTAATTTGAATATCTAACCAAAGTAGTTCTGCATCTCTTGCATATACAAAACTAACCTAGAGCGTTTACCAGTGCAACATCAGCATTTTCAGTGAAATGCAACAAGTCAGTGCAGAAGCAAAATGTGAAAACACAATCAAAAATCATTTTAAAACTGACTATTCTTAAACCTCAGTTCTGATTCAAATTTGAGCAAAAATGGGGGTTGGTTTCTATTTTATTTGGATCACTTCATGCATGCATCTGCCTGTTTTATTTGACGTTAGTCTGAAGGGGCTTGAAACAAAGGGGCAGGTGTTCTCAGCAGGCTTGTGTTTTATTTCATAGATTTCATAGACATCTGGGCTGGAAGGGACCCCAGAGGATCATTGAGTCCAGCCCCCTGCCCAAGGGGCAGGAAGTCAGCAGGGATCATAGGATCCCAGCAAGATAAGCATCCAAATGTGTCTTGCAGGCGTTCAAAGTGGGTGCTCGAACCACCTCCAGTGGCAGTCTATTCCAAACCTTGGGGGCTCAGACAGTGAAGAAGTTCTTTCTTATGTCTAGCCTGAAACAGTCGCGGCGGAGTTTGTGACTATTCAATCTTGTCATCCCTTGGGGGGCTGTAGTGAACAGATGTTCCCCCAGATCCTGATGAGCACCCCGATAAACTTATAGGTGGCCACCAGATCACCCCTGAGCCTGCGCTTTTCCAAGCTGAATAGCCGCATGGTTCTCAGCCTCTCATCATAAGGTCTGTTTTCCTGACCTCTGATCTTGCGCTTCTGAAAAAAAAAAAAAGTGGCTGGAAAAGGAGTGGAAAGAAAAGACAATTTCAAAAGAAATACAGCATGGAGGCTTTTTTTTTATCACAGATCTGGCACATATCTCAATCCTGTCTCCACTTTGTTTCCCATTACTATGACATTTTAGGCAGTGCTGTCAGACATCCTCCAGCCAGTTCATGGTAATGCAGGAAGCAGTAGCACTATTTGTATGCATGTTGGGGGAGGGAGGGGGAATGATATTTAATCATACTGTGGCCAGGTACATCAAAGAAGTGTGAAAATGTGTGCAATCTTGCATGTTAAGCACTTGTCAGATGAGGCAGTCAGCACCATAAAAGGCTCAGATATGCCTCTACACAACACCGGGTGCTACCTTAATAAGGCCACTTCAAAAGAAAAAGAAAGAATGAATCAAGCACCAAGGAAAAAATTTACGTGCATTGCACACAGAGCTGGCCTTAAGGAAAATGGTGCCCTGGGCGAACTTGTATTTTGGCGCCCTCTCCCTCTGCCCCCCCAAGTCAGCAGTGCTGCTGCAGGCAGAAGCCAATGGGAAGGGAAGGGGCAGGGGGACTACAGCTGTTCCCGTCTCCA